GTGACCTCACTGGTGACTTCTTAGAATGGCCAATTAACATATGATTCTATTAGATAATGTCTAGAATAAAAACAAAATTAACCACATGCACCATCTACAACTTACAGGAAAAAAGCAATGGGATGCCTTGATCTGTCATTTACTGTGTGGGTTTGGGCAGGTCACTTCCTCTCCAGGTCTCAGTTTCCTCATCAATAAAATGAGGGGGTTGAACAAGAAAGTCTCTGAGATCCCTATCAGATCTGAGTTAATGAACTACTACAAAGAATGAATTTGGTATATATGTGATATATACAGTATTGGAATTCCATTACAAAAGTACTAAACTCAGGCTTTCTGCAAGTATAAATCCTGAAGGACTTATATGAATGTTCAGATAGATCGGGGAAATAACCAATATGAGTATTCCTTCCAGCAATGAAATCACAACTCAATCCTGTCTGCCAGGTCTGGGTAACTTGCATCCATGTTCTCCCATACATCGGCCACTCAGCAAGCTGCAGATGTGCCTCTGGTTCTAGCAATATTATGTGGATACCAGGGGAGTCTATGGGCTAGCTGTCCATCGGTTGTCTCTTGCTGTCATCTGTGCGACTAGCCCAACTGCTTTTGCTCTCTACTCAGACATTTTCTGATAGCATCCCTCATACTCTTCTTGCATAATACCTATTTTTAATATGTTGCAGGCTGCTTCTGCCTACCATGCATCTCCTTAACTGCTCTGGTTCATAGCCATACAACATCACAAGGTGAATATTAATGTAAAAAATATCTCAAAGGCAAGCTAGTCTGTTCTCTTGTTTAATTCTGAGCACAATCTATTCATGGCTCATATGCTGTGTCTTTCTCAGATACGTGTACTCGTGGATGAACTGTGCACATCATCACAGTCTGGACAACAGGTGTTTTCATCAACTTGGTTGTTTCTGTACATATAGTGGCTAAATTCCTGGGTGATTATGGATCTCATCCAGGAGGCTTCATAATATCCATTGATGCAGTCATCACAGTGTCATTAACTAGTAACATCTAATCATGTGGCTGAGGGCAGCTAGTGCCTCAGTGGATAGAATGCTGGGCCCGGAGTCTGGAAGACTCATCTTCCTGACTTCAAATCTGACCTTAGATACTAGTTGTCTGACCTCGGGCAAGACACTTCCCCCTGTTTACCTCAATTTCCTCAATGAGCTGGAGAAGGAAATGGCAAACTACTCCAGTATCTTTGCCAAGGAAACCTCAAATGGAGTCACAAAGAGTCAGATGTGACTGAACAGTAATAATTATGTTGCTCACCTCTCCTTGCCCACCTTTCTTAAACTGTTCTTTTCTTCCCCCACAGCTTCCAGCTGTTTTATGAGGAAAAACTGTTCAGAATCTCTCACCACAATTCTCTCAAAGATAAGCGACTTTTATGTTTGAGAACAGTGTTGGCTACCACATTCCTGACTTGTTGGCTAAGGAAGCTTCCAGGCTCTTTTGCTTTTCTTGTTTTAACTGATATACATTGGCTACATTTCTATAGAAAATTGCTGTAACCTCTGTCAATGTCCTTTCTTCTAACAGAATGTAAGCTGCTCATTTTTGTCTTTGTAATTCCTAGCACCTAGCTGGCATACAGCAGACACTTAATAAATGCTTATTGGTTCATCTGTTTCCAACGTTTTGTTTAAATAACTGAGGTTGAGGTTGTTTTAGTTGTTCCCATTTTTATCATTTATTCCAGTTCAACATTAATTTTTATCTTTGGTTTTTACAGATCAGTGGTCTGACTGTACAGATACTTGATTCAAGAATAACTCGTAAATCAATAATAAGTCATTAACTATCTGTTGAACAGATAGGTGTCACAGTGGATAGAGTGCCAGATCTGGAGTCTGGAAGACCTCAGTTCAAATCCACCCTCAGACCTTAACTAGCTGTGTGACCCAGGGCAAGTCACTTAACTTCTTTTTGCCTCAGTTTCCTCATCAGTAAAAATGCGTTAATAATAGCACCTACTTCCCAGAGTTATTGGATCAAACAAGATAATAATATAGTGTTTAACACTTGGCATATGGTAGGTGCTATATAATCAATTTCTTTTTTTGAGAGAGACAGAGAGAGAGAGATGGTATTTGGCACTCATGTCTACAACCTTACAATTCTCAAAAGAAAAAAATATTCATGACATATTGGCATGAGACTTCCATGCTGTTTATAAGCCTTAGGCCTCTTTCATTCACTGTTTCTGGAAATTTTCCAGCATATTTATCATTAACTTCACGTAAGCCCCACCTTTGGATTTCAGGCACCAAATAGCAGCGTAGAGGCTATTTAAATGCTGAGGGTCTTGTCAGATTCTTTGTAGACTCTGCCTCTTTGTTTCCTTTTCCAGATGCTGGTGCTTAAGCTCCAGTTAATTTTCAAGGGGGTCTTTCTGCAAATGTTTATCATGAAAACTATAATATTAGAATAGTTAGCCTGTGAAATGAGGCTTCTCATTGACTTTGGAGGCAAGAGGAAGCCAACTCTCCTTTATTTCCCTCTGCAGGGAGAAGCTGGGAACCATCTTTCCATGTGGCTGTCATTTTCTTTGGTTTTCTGGTTTCATTTACAGCAAGAATGCCAAACTTGTCCAATGCCATCTCCACTTGCTTGTCACTGGACAAGGCTTTCTTTCACATTTGGAATACCAATAGTTAATACATATAGATGGTCTAAAAACTGTGTAATTCATCACTCCTAAGGCAGTGAAAAAGGACGACTCAGGCCAGACTGCCATTTTGTGTGTTTTAGCTTGTTTCCTGGATTGCCATGGCCAAAGATTCTACTAAAGATGAGCCTCTGCATAGTTAGCTAGGCTGGTCCTTGGAAAGGAAGGATATAGAAATCCTTCCACTAGAAGAACTTACCCAGGGGCAAAATCTACACTTCTTTATGGCCATAAGAATAACAAGATTTGTGATGACAGCATTTTTATGGTAACCTTTCTGATACTCCTCACTAATGCTGTCAGGGTCAAAGGTAACGGATTTACATTTTCTGTAACTAGAATTTGATTTGGCTTCTCTATTTCAATATAAAATGATCCTGTCCCTTTCTACCTTGGAAACCCCCACATTCTACAATTAGATTTTACGGCTGATTTTTTTTACAGAACTTTTAAAGTTTAACTGTCTTTCCCTGTTAACTCCCACTTTCACCTTCACCTGATTTCTAAAAAAGGCATTACTCTATAGACAGCTAGGTGGTATAAAGCAGTGGATAGAGTGCTGGGCCTGGAATCAGGAAGATGCGAGTTCAAATCAGACCTCAAGCTTATAAGCTGTGTTACCTGGGTAAGTCATTGCACTTTTGTTTGCTTCAGTTGGGAATAATCATAGCACCTAGCTAAGGTTATTGTGAAGACAAAAGAGATAATATCTGTAAAGTGTTTAGCACAGTGCCTGGCACATAGTAAATGCTATAGAAATGCTAGCTATTATTATTATTTGTAAAAAAGCACTCAGAATATGATGCCTAGCACTTAGTCAGTGTTATGTAAATACTTATTCCCTTTCCCCTCCCTTTCTAATCATTGGGGAGAAAACTATACCTATGTGATTTTTCTGTGAAATAGTTATAACCCCTGACATAATTACAAAATGTGAATTTGACATGACTGCCTTGGAGAAGAGACAGATTTTACTTTTATCTCTACTTTAAAAAAAAAGTGCCACAGTAGTATCTTAATTACTTTCAAAGAAAAGATTAAAATAATCTATAGATTTGGAGACATATATGTAGGCATCAAGGACCCCAGAGGTCTTTTGCCAGTGGTTATCATATCACACTTCTGGGGGTCTAGAAGGGTCTCTTAATCTTTTTTGTGTCATAGTTCCCTGTGGTGATCTGATGAAGTCTATGGACCCCTTTTCAGAATAATGTTTTTAAATACACAGGGTTACAAAAGAAGCCAAAATTTGCCCATTCAGGTTTAATGGACACCCTGAAGCTATCCACAGCTTAAGGACTCCTGGTCTATAGGATTGATGTCTATTCTGATTTCTGTGTGGCTGAGTGGCCATGAGAGCCTTTAATTTCTATGAATCTTGGTTTCCTTCCTCTCTAAAATGATGATACACCCAGCAAAGTATCTAGCACCAAACAGATGTTTAATATCTGCTTGCTGATTGACAAATTGCTTTCCAGCTTTCTAGGGCTGTGGTGAGGAAAGTGCTCTATAAACCAGGAATATCTCCATATAGGCTGTTACTACTAGCACCTTTATCTGCAATAGCATTCTTGATTTATAAGGCAAGTTAATAGGGTTTTAGAAAATAATGCTATTCATCCTCAAGCATGGATATTGTTAGATTTTCATATTTAAATATGGGATAGAAATTGGAACTGCGATTTCATTGATATAGGGCATTCTCCCAGGTGAAGAAACTCCCTCAGGTAATGGAGGCTCTTAGAGTGGGGCATAGTGCACTGTGACTTGTCTGTTCAGGGTCCAACAGTCAGCGTGTGGCAGAGGCAGATATGGACCTCTGGTTGACCTGGCTTCAAGGCCAGCTGTCTTTACACACACTATATCATGCTGTCTCTCACCTAGTGAGGAGTAAGGGGAAACCAATGACATCCATGCACGTTGCTATCTTTTAAACAGTAATTACCATTATGAACTACCAATATTTCACTATGATATTTCTAGGTTAGTCCTAATAGTGGTCTCAATTCATTAAAAATAAATGGATTTTTGTTGTTGTTTTGCACTTTGAAGAGTTTTCTTCTGTCATGATAACAGAATTACAATAAATAGCAAAAACAGATGCAAATATATATATTAAAAAAAACCCTCTTAAAATTATGCTCATATTTCCCTCGTTCATGTTTCTGGTAAGAAACACCCAAACCACTTTCTGATCTGTGATGTCTTATTTTGAACAACTTGTGTAGGGCTAGAGCTATAACTGTGAGGGTGGTTGGTTGTAAGAATAGCGTTTTGCAAACTTTAGGACACAACAGAGACATTTGAGTTAGAACAAAAGCAGTGATTTAACTGAGGACAGCAAAGCACCAAGCATCCTAATTCAACAGAAATACTTTAGCATCCATTTGTGATTGTTTTAAAGTTGATTTAAAGAAATATTGACAAGTACAAGAAATACAGTTGTAATGATGGTAGAAACAATGAGATACAGTTAAATAGGTCAAGTAGATGCATTTTCTTTCAGGTAACTTTCACAAAGGTAAAAACCTATTGATTCTCTTCCTTCCTCCCTCCCCCATATCATAGCTTTTCATTTCAATGTTAGAGAAGGCAGAAGACAATGAAAACAAAGTGCTAATCTAACATTTTCACTTAAAAAGTAAAATAAAATTAACATTTGTGCTGTTTTCATTGAAAAGCAAACATTTTGTCTGTTACAGATAAGATTGTGAATTTCAATATTAGTCAATTTCTGCATATTGTTCCCATTCAGATACTGTCACTTTTAGGTCCCTAATTTGTCTTTGCACATGAAAAGTAAAATTTACATCTGATGGCTGAAAGGTCAAAGCTAGCTACTGCCTAACCAATTTCTCAATTTGTTCATATCTACATTTTTAGTCAGTGTTAATTACTTGTGTAAACCACACCTCTGGCCCTGTCTATGAGTGCTGATGTATTAAAGCATTTGTTGAGCTTTAGTTACCTGATTAGAAATGCAAAAACATATTCATTTCTGACAACCTTAATTAAGATAGAAGCTTTTAAAGAGCTTTGTAAGGCGATAGATTAACAGAAATACTATTTGTGAATTTACTACATGTATTTGGCCTCTGTGGACATTAGCCAGCAGCTTTTCATTAACTTTAACCCAAATGAGCAGCCAGTTCCACCAATAAATATTCATTTATTCTGTTCTTTTTAAATGGCTGGTCTGGCAAACCTTATACAATTGATGACACTCTTTTTCAGTGGAAGTTTGGGGGTTGGGAGAAATGTCCAAAATTGAGTTTCTACTATGTGAGATGCCTATGTCTGGCAACATTGAGTGTGGAAGGAGGAGGGAGAGGGACAGATCTACTATACTGACAACATGGAAATTGTCTTTTAACCATTAAAATAAAACTTTTTTTTTCTATGTAGAAAATCATCATTCCCACACGAAAAATTCCCTCTATAAATATTTTGACCTATTATTTCAACCAAATCTTTACTAGGCACCCACTATGTGCACAGCACTGTGTTAAGTTCCCTTAAAAAGACTCCTACCTTTGCTCCATATCTAATGCATATGCATGTCAGCTTTACCTTCAGTGAGGCTGGCGCAGACCTTCAGAGTAAAACAGGTGTTTTTGAGATAAGAAAACATTCACTTGGAAGCAAACTTATTAATATGACTTTCTTTTCTTTAAAAACCGAGGCTGTGGAGGAGTAGAATGGCTGGAGTGAGCCAATGATGGGCAGATAGGTCTGGTTCGGAAGAGATGAATGAAATTCACATATTATAGGGTTGCATTCATCTGTAAAGAGAGAAAATGTCATTAACTTTGTTATGTGAATCTAAAGGCAGGATCACACATTTAACCTGACTTGCCCACCCTCTAGAGGAGAGAAAGCAACAAGCAGAACCTGTCACTTCAAACAGGGACTAGGGAAACCATTCTACATGCAACCCGGGACCATCCTAGCTACCACAGTAAGCCCTTCCCTTTTATTTCCCATAAGCCCATAAGCTGATGGATTTTCACCCTGCAGCTCGCTGGCTTAGTTCTTTGAATTTATCCAGACAGTATTAAGCATTTTTTTCCCTTTCCATTGTACAAATCTTCTGCTCAATGCAAAACCCAGGGTGAAGAAATGCTGAACTGTCCAACTCTAGAGCAAAAGGAAAAGGATGAATTTTCCTGCTAAATCCCAAAGGGATAATTACTAAGCTAGGGTGTGTTTGAGGGGAAAGGGCACTTTACCCTCCCCTTTCTGAGACTCCAATCACGCTAAGATGCCACTTCCTTCTTCTTACAGTCTTTCATAGTGGATAGAGTGAGTGCTGGATCCAGAATCAAGAGGCTAAGTTTAAATTTCTCCTTAGACACTTACTAGTTATGTGATCGTGGGTACTGCACTTTATTCTCAGAGCCTCATTTCTTTATCCATTTTAAACAACCACAACAACTGGACCTAGGATTTCATTGGTGTAGGGAACTTTCTCTACCAATGCAGACTGGCACCTTCTCTGCAGTTTGGAGTCTGAGAGAGTTGCCTAGGGCACTCTGAAGTTAAATGACAAGACCACAGCCAATATGTGGCAAAGACATAACTTGAACCAAGGTCTTTCTGGCCCCAAGACTAGATCTATATCCACCATACCATGCTTCCTCACCATCAAACAGGGATAATATTATGTGAACTATCAGCATTGTAGGGTTATTCAATTTAATTCAATTCAACATACATTTATTGAGTGTCCACTGTGCACTAGAATGACACTGGAGATACATACACACACACACACACACACACACACACACACACACACACACACACACGGGAGGGGGGGTGTCGGAACTGTCTTGTCCTCAAAGACATTCCAATTGTAAGGAAGTTATTTTGCAAACCTTGCAGTATTGTGTAAATGTTGTTGTCATTTTTCTGTCTAGTTGCTCGCCTACATGACAATCCTAATTCAGTAATCTGTTATCCCAAGCAGTATTATCTTCCATTCAAAGCCTGACAAGGTTATTCCCCCAGGGTACAGATCTGGACTCCAGTCCTAAGCATTCCTCAAAGTGCAGTCCTGATCTTGGGATTATTCTAATACAAAGGATCCTAGGGCTGGTTTTGATCCAGTCCAGGGTATCCAGTTCAGTCCTTGTCTTAGAGCAGTGGTTCTCAAAGTGCGGTTTGAGAGTCACTGAGACTCTTTGTGGGGGGCGGAGGTCTATGAGGTCAAAACTATTTTCATAATAATGCAAAGACATTTTAATTTTTAATATGTAAGTATTGATACATATAAGACAGATAAAAAGGAGTTCTAGGAAGAGGAAGGGATTCTGATTAATTTTAAGAGAATAAAGGAGTCTAAGACCAAAAAGTTTGAGAACTGTCCATACTCTACTTGGGGTGGGGAACCTGCAGCCTTGAGGCCACATGTGGCCCTCTAGGTCCTCAAGTGTGCCAGACTCAGACTGAGTCAAATGGACTCACTTGAGGACCTAGAGGGCCGCATGTGGTCTCGAAGCCGAAGGTTCCCCACCCCTAAATTAAACCATCCTGTATGTGTTATGTCCCCAAGACTGAGTCTAGACGGAAGATTTTGGTGCCATTCTCAGAATTTTTGGGTGTCTGTACTGTCAGCTCCAGCAACCTCTGGGCCAGCCCCAGTGGAGACCCGCATCCTTGAAACTTGGGTGACCTCAGGTCATTCCCTTAGCTTAAAGAGGCAGAGAAAATGGCCTTTTACTTTATATACTTTATTTTTTCCCACTTCATACCCTGTGTAGGAATAGGAATGAGCAAAGCAGTAATTTGCTTGTGTGGGGAGGGGAAGAGGCCAATCCCTTTTATTATGCTTCCTTACCAATTTCTCTCTGGTAGTATAAGCATCCACTCAACATCTGCAGCTCAATCTCATACTCTTTCAGTTTATGTTTGGGTTTGTTTTAGGCTTTATTCTACATGCCTAAAATCTGATGGACATGGATATGTACAGCTCTAATTAGCACCTGATAATAGAACTAATATGGTTTGTAATTTATTTCAGTTCTAGCCTCATAATATCCTTTTAGAGCAGGAAGATAACAATAGTAATAATAATTAGCATTTATATAGTGCTTTAAAATTTACAAAGAGTTTTACACAATGGGGAATAGGAAGCTGAGAGAATTTAGGTGACTTGGCCAGAGTGACATAGCTATTGAGTATGTAAGATAGAATTCCAACTGACGTCTTCCCAGCTCGAAGCCTAGGACTCTCTCTATGAGGCCACCATATTTTAAAACCAATTTTAACAGAGTAGAAAGAACAACATTTCCTTAAGGTCACAGAGTCGGTGGCAAAGCTTAGACTTGAGCAATAATTTCCAGATGCCAGGCCTGGCACTACTTTTGGATGCCTACATCACTTTTGTGGAAATTAGGAATTAAAAATTCTAGAACCTGTGAAAGAGCATATTTGACTCAATACAAATTGCTCCTTTAAGTCTTTAGTTGACCAAATCCCAAATACCTGAGGGTACAAGAGAGGCTAACGTAGATTGGCATGATATTTCTTAACAATAGCCAACATATGGAGAGTCGCAAAACCAATCATGCTACTTATGCGTGGTTGTCCAAACCTGCTTTAATTTTCAGAATTTTTCAAGGCATCTCTAATGGTCTTGGAAAGTTTGGGTAACTTAGCTAAAAGAGCAGGTGCTTCTATAAGCAAATGAGGCATTTTGGAGCACACACTGAGGGCCTTTTATACCTTTTCGTTCAATGTTACGGCATGTATTTGTACTGTTACAGAACAGGTAGCAAGTTGAATACATTGCCTTTTTTTTTTTTTCCAAAGTGCCACAAGTGATTTTGTGGTTAGCTTCAAAGTCAGTCAAGGAAAATGCTGGATAACACGTTCTTGGAATAGAATCACCTAGTTCAGAAAGGTGAGAAAATTTGTTGTTGTTCAGTTGTGTCTGACTCTTTGTGACCCCGTTTGGGGTTTCCTTGGCAGACATACTGGAGTGGTTTGCCTTTTCCTTCTCCAGCTCATTTGACAGATGAGGAAACTGAGGCAAACAGGGTTAACTGACTTGCCCAGGGTTATACAGATAATACATGTCTGAAGCCAGTTTGAACTCAGGAGATAATTCTTCCTGACTCCAGGCTCAGCACTCTATCCACTATGTCACCTAGCTACCCTTAAGAAAACAGAAACCTTGAGAAGCAGGGACCTTGAAAATTTAAACTGACATAAAACACTTTGCCCACAAATATGTTTCACTTACTCACACATACATTGAAATATATGAATATACCGTGAAAGAGTTAGGCACTAATGGGTACAAATGACACATGGAGGGGTCCAGTTTATGCCATTACATTTTAACAGGGATGTCTAGCCTATCAAAATTCACAACACATGATTCTAAGACAGATTCATGTATGAATTAGCTTAAAACCAAACAGTATCAGCAAAAATCCCTAAAACCCTGAGAGGAAAGGGCTGTGTCCCAAAAGCTGACAGAAGTCTTTGCCCTGGCTCAGTACTGCCACCTGATGTACACTCAGGAAATATTTTTCTAAAGACAGAATGATCCTTTTGGGTGATGTCCAGTGACCAACCACCATATCCCCCTTACTGCTCCCAATTAACTCCCTGCCAAGCAGGTGTCTACACAGGCAGATACAGGGAATGCTGAAATCTGCATAGCAGTGTCCGTAACAGGATAACAGATTATAATACCAAACCAAAAAATCACCAGGTACCCTTCTAAAAGAATTCCATCAGTGGTCATATTTTCTTCCAGGAGTGTTTAGAACTTCATATATCTGAAACCCCCACAGGGCATATGGAAAAGGACTGTGGTTGGTGGTTGAAATATCCCAAGTCTGGCTCTTTTGTGAAAACTTCTCTTAAAACATCCAAAATTCCTGGACAAAAATGTAGCCTTTTAAAGCATAACTGCCAGTTACTTGTCCTTGGATGGCCTTAAAAAAAAACACAAACCTCCTTAAATGATGCCCAAAACTCTGTTCAGAGACTCTGAAAAGCAGCATGTGCTCATTTAGCTTAACTCCCTGCCTCAGAAAGTGAAGCAGTTTCTGTGACCTGAGGACATTCTTTCTGGTAGATGTACATACCACATTGCTGAGTTCTACATGGCCCATTATCCGAGAAACCTCATCAAACTCCTCAGGAGACATCGGCAGAAGGTTTTCTGTGCTCTGAAGTCTGGAGGGGTGACTAAAATAGGAGAGAAATGAAAGGGAAAAATGTAACCACACTTAAAATTTAAGAGGAGAACTGACATTTCACCCCTTACCTCATCACTCTCAATAGGGGTTCTTAACCTGGGGTCCATGAATTTGTTTTTTTTGGTAAAATATTTTGATAACTATATCTCGGTATAACTGGTTTCCTTTGTAATCCTATGCATTTTATTTGTTGCATTTAAAAACATTCTTCAGAGGAGGCGTCCATAGGCTGCACCAGACTGCCAAAAGGGTCCATGACACCAAAAAGGTTAAGAACCCCTGCTCTACCATATGGGTCGTCTCTAGGAAATAAACAGACTTGTCAAATATTTTTGAAAAAGTCTTAACCATCTGGGAGTATTGGTTCCCCACCCATTCCAGCCCCTCTACATGGAGTGAGTATCAGTTGGCCCACTGGGCACCCAATGGTCCTTAGGAAGTCTAACCATGGCCACATGCACTTACTTGTGTTGCCCTGGAAGTACAATGCCTACCCAGAGGAGCACCATGTCTGGGGACTCCCTCATCCCACCTTGAGCTGCTTGGAGGGTTTCTTTTTTTTTTTTAACATGATGGCTAGATCCATTCATTCACCCCAAGACAATGCAGGAGGGCAAATAACTGACAATGACATTTCCAAAAGTTCTGGGTTTACTTTTTTTTGTTTTTGTTTTTTTTTTTTTTTACTGTTTACAAAATGAGACAAAGACTAAAAAGCAAGAGGAAAAAAATGTATTTCAGTTGCAACTTTGGCCTGCTCTAGTTTGAAAAGAACTACTTTCCCACTCTGATCAATTTTTGTTCATTTTATTTACACTTGTTTCAAAACATCAATGTTTCTGGCACGTGGAGAGCTTTCACATAGCTTTGATGGAAAAAAAAAAACAGAACTGGCTTAGAGGTTACACCATGGTTGGGTTCACAGAACTCCTAATTAGCATCTTCTCATTCCATCTTGCCCAGACTACCAGCAGAGTAACAATTACAAGCATCTCTGAGGTCCACCCATCCTCCCAGGAATGGAAATAGACTGAGGGTTCTAAAAAGGGCACTCTTCTCTGTTCACTTACACTTCAGATACAGAAATTAGTTCAGTCTTGATGTATCCAGTCCCTTTGGGGCCATCAATTTCCATTGGCTCTGGTGCTGGAAAGCAAACAAACCAAATGCACATCTGGTTAGCCAATGTTCATGTACTTCATCCAGTGGTTAAAAAAAATTAAACTTGTTTCTTAGATGATCAAAGAACTTAAGAACCAATGACACTCCCACCCCCATTGCTTTTGTCAACTTAAATCAGACAGCAGATTAAGGTAAAGGGGCCAGGGTCCACTGGAGAGATGAAGGAGGAGCATTCAGGACTGCGGCCATGCTGATATTGGGAAGAGCTGAACTCTTGCAAGGAGCTGGAAGACTCAAGAAAGGGAGATGACCTCTGCCTTGCAGACAGTGGGGAAACTTCATTTTAAACTAATCTGCCTACTTTGAGATCTTTACCAATAAAAAATTAATGATCTTATAAGCATGCTGCAAAATAAGACTTTTCTTCACTGAAAATTCTAAGATAAGTAAACAGCAGATATGTTGTAGAGAAACGATTATTTCTCTCTGCTATTAATTATTGCATTAGGATCCCCTTTTCTACTTCCTCATCCAGAAATCAATCAGTGTGGGAAATCTTTCTAAAAGATACACCCAAGTCAGGATGGCTGAGATCTAATCAAAGACAGTAAAAGAAATTCTAAGTTTAGGCTAATGGGTTCATTCCTGGGGAAATCCCTTGAGTCATACAGGTGATATGGAAATTGATGTCTCTTTGATCAAGATGTGGGTGATACAAGTAGGTAATCTAAATCTCGTACCCCAAAGACCCTCATTTTAATATAGACCACCTGCCATTATAACATTCATTCTCTCTTATTACTTGTTGACCAATCAAGAGTTCATTTTACACCCTCAGGTGCACCCCTTTTCCACAGACTTCATAAATATTGAAGGTTCAACAATTGTAGGTTTGGTCTCTTTAGTTACTACAAGCCTGTTTTTGTTGACTGCTTTCTAGACATAATCAATAAAACTGATTTTAATTTACCCAGAAACTCGGTCTCTTGGAACTTTTCTTATTGCCACAATTGGAAAGAACACTGGACTGATTGGGACTCAGGAGACTTGGGTCCTAGTCCTAGCATGGCCACTAACTAGCTGTGGGATCTTGAGCGAATCATTTCAACTGTGGGACCTCAGGTGGAATTAATTTTCACATCTATGTGAATTAATTCACATTGGTGAAATGGGGAGGGGAGGAGTGCCCTACAGTTGTTATGTCAAACTCAAATAGAATGGGGAGACATCAAACCATATGTAAGGAACCCTGCCACCTATAAATTGACTTAGAAGACTACATATTAACATCTATGTTTTATTGTATTTTTACTTATTTTGTTAAATATTTCCTATTTATATTTTAATCTGGTTCAGGTGTACTTGGAGTGCTGTGGGCCAGCCCCGCCTTCCCTAACACGTCTGCTCTAGTCAACTGTAGACTATGATTTGAAGAACTGTGGTAGAAAGTTTCCTCAATTGGAGTTTCCTTCCTCAGTGAAATTGTAGGTCCTGGCCAAAAAAATCTCCCATTCATTATTATCAGGGCAGTGAGGTGGCCCAATGGATGGAGGGCTGGGCCTGGAGTCAGAAGACCTAAATTCAAATTTAATCTCAGGCACTCACTAGCTCCATGACGCTGAGGAAGTTGCTTAGCCTCAGTTTCTCCATCCGTGAATTGGAGATGATAACGCCTACCTTCCAGGGTTGTTGTGAGGACTAAATGAGATATTTGTAAAGTGCTTTGCAAACCTTAAAGTGCTATATAAATGCTAGTTATTATTATTACAGAGCTAAAAAAACAAATGAGTAGAAATGGACTGTGGTGACATGCCCCAAAGAAAGGAGAAATTTACTCTTTCTCCTTAAATGCATCAGCTCTCATTTCAAACTGCAATGTGCTCTCATAATCTTTGGGAAACCTGCTATATTCAATCAATCCACTGTCAAGCCTCCAATGGAAAAACCAGGATCTACAGATAAATGTCCTAAGTGGGGATTTGGGTGATGATTTCTATGTTTATAAAGATGAAAATGGAATCTTGCTTTTTAAAACTCTTGCCCTTTTCCTAGCTTTCCAACATTGCATTGTTATTAAAATCAAACTAGTGCAGATATTTCTCTAGAGTATTTCCATCATGAGTTTTGACAGAAAGAATTCACCAATTGGAAGAGAATACATTTCTACTAAAGGCTTTTTCACCTCTTTATTATCTTTCCATTCTTTTTTTTTTTTTAGTGTTTTTTTTTTCCTAGACTTGCCCAGGGTCACACAGCTAGCAAGTAACAAATGTCTATTCTGAGACCAGATTTGAACTCAACTTTGGGAGGATGTTCTAGGGAAGACTCATGGTCATGTCCTGGCTGGTTTAATTGGCTTCTGAAGTCCCTTCTGATTCTGATGGTTTCTGATCTCTCATTGCCCCACCTCCAGGGGCACCTGTCCTACATTTTATTTCTGAGGGGGGGCTTGAGCTCAGCTGACATTTAAACTAATCTTCACTCAAGCTATCTGCATTTCAATATGTACATGTGTTGAAAGGAAAAATCTTTGTTGGGATTTCACCCTAATAAATTACGCAGGCTCAGGAAAAAAAAATATAGCAAAAAGCAGTTTATCTTTTCATACAAAGCATAGGCATTGTATGGACCTTGGGGGAGCTCAGGCTACCTTAAACTTTTAAAGACAAACTTTGGTAACAAGAGAAGTCAATTCTGATAGGTTAAAAGGGGACAGGCTAGTATTGTATGGATATCAAGTTTACAATCCACTTAAGATATGGATTCTAAAGGGGCTCAAAGTCCATGAGGCTGTTATAGTTTCTTGGTGTGGGGTCTGAGAGGGAGGGCAGCTTCCGATCATGAAGGTTGTCAAGTTTAACCTGTGTAGCCCCCTGTCACATACCCAATTTGTGGGGTACAAGTGGGCTGTCACATATATCTCTAAGGGGAATGAAAGTCGTGTACACTCAGATTTATGTAGTGGGCCCAAGCTGAGACCTTTGCCCCTTACCCCAAAAAGAATTTGGGTCCCATTTGTCTGCGGGCCCCAGAAAACCCTTAAACTTTCTTTTAACTCACTTACCTGGTCAAAGAAGTCTCAAGTCTCACTCAACTGGCCTTTCCTTATCTCTTATTCTTATTCTGATCTACAGGCTCTTCCTTATTCTAGGCCCAATCTCCCTTTGATTACCTAATGAAGCCTAGTCCTCTATAGCCCTGAGTTATATTTCTCATCTGGGTCTTATCCAGACCCCATTCAACCTCCTCCTTCCCTATCTTCCAGTTCTTTGTTACCCTAATAAAGCCTAGCACCCCATTCAACCTCCCAGACACTCCCATGGGATTCTCCTTAAACTCCTCCCCCAGTCACCCCAGCTTCAGGATCCTCCTCCTGACCCCTACTCCAGTCACCCCAAATTACTTGGCTGTATATAAGATCCACCCTAGCACCCATTTAAATGCTGAGACTTTCTCATGCCTGCTTGTCCTTATGAGTGTCACTAATGTTTTGACTCCTTAAGAGTCTGGCCTGTATGGTTCACCTGCAATAAATCTTGTCTGTGGCTGAAAGAAGACTTGGGTTGAATTCACCCATATAGGACCTGCGTATTGTGATTTTGGGGTCCCAGCAGCCCTAGCATCTACACCTCAACAGGAGTGGACAAATTCTTTAATACAGGGACTACCAGAGGTTCAACAATGATTCTCCCCACTCACCTTCCTTTGGCCTAGAGTAGTATTTCCCAAAAGCATGGTCTTTATCAATGTTTGGGTATAGAAACTTCAGAGGATTTTCAGGGATATTCTCAGCAGCCATGACTTTATAGTTCCGAATGATATCAGGAAAAGTAACAGCAGAGAGTTCTTTTTTCGTGTATGGTTCAACTGCATGAAACACGGGCTCTTTAAAAAAAAGAAGAAAAGAAGAAAGGAAGGAAGGAAGGAAGGAAGATATGAGTTATAGGATCTAAAAAACTCCTGTAGCCATCTAATCCAATATATAAATGAATAAGAATTCCCTCTAGAACAGTGGTGCCATGCTCAAATAGATCCTTGTGGGCTGCATATTGACTTAGAAAACCACAAATTAACATTATCTATGTTGTATTTTTACTTATTTTGTTAAACATTTCCCAACTATTTTTAATCTGGTTTAGGATGCATTGAGAAATTCAGGTTACACTGGAAGGCAGGGAATATAGCCAAAGAATTTGACACAGCTGCTCTAAAACATACCCAACAAGGAAGGTGTAATAGTGAAAGGGAACCTTCTGAGGCAGCCTATGCCACTTTGGGATGGCTCTAATTGATAGGATTATCCTAAATTTGCTTCACAGCAACACGAACATTGTTGTTCAGTCCTTTCAGACTCTTTGTGACCGTATTCGAGGTTTACTTGGCAAAGAAACTGGTGTGGTTTGCCATTTCCTTCTCTAGCTCATTTTACAGATGAGGAAACTGATTTAAGTGACAGCAAGGGCCACAAAGCTAGTCAGTGTCTGAGGCCAGATTTAAACTCAGGAAGATGAGTCCTCCTAACTCCAGGCCCCAGCACTCTATCCACTGTATCACACAGCTGACTCACAACATGAATAACAAACAGCCTTTCTAATATTACTTCTCTGACCTTTCTCCTTTCCCCCTCAAAGTCTTCTCTTAACTAACCATCACCAGTTCCTTCAATTGATCCCCATATGGCCCTCTACCATCACAGTTACCTAAGCCCAAGATCACATTACCTTTTTATTTTCATTGTTACATTACCCTGTCAACTCATAATACACTTGTAGTTCACTAAAACCCTCAGATCTTTTTCAGATTTATGGCTATCTTTTAACCATATCTCTACTAGCTTGTATTTGTGAAGCTGTTTTTTAAAAAAATTATTAATCTAAATATATTAATGATTATACAAAAAATGCACTCTTTTAAATACATATCTGTATACAATTTGGGGTAGCTAGGTGGCTTGGTGGATAGAACACTGGGCCTAGAGTCAGGAAGACCTGAGTTCAAATCCAGCCTCAGATACTTACTATAGCTATGTGACCCTGGGCAAGTTACTTGATCTTATTTGCCTCAGTTTACTCATCTGTAAAATGAGCTGGAGAAGGAAATGGCAAAGCACTCTATCTCTGCCAAGAAAACCTCCAAAATGGGGTCGTGAAGAGTCAGACACTACTGAACAACAGCAATCTATGTACAATTTAGTATCTTTCTCACTAGCCTTTACCTGTTTAAAAACTGGAGCTTTTTCATGTGCATCTTGTAAAAACAAGGAAATCTAGTGTCCATTCTTAGACTGCATTTACAATGTTCCCTAAAATTAAATTCCAAAGTATTATTTTGGAATAGTGCCTTTCCTAGGCTGGAAAATAACTCTAGAAATTGCTTTCTGAATTTCATAATAAAAACAAAACAAAACAAAACCTTGTAGAGATTAGATATGGGTTCTTCAGAGAAACCAAGCTGTTGGATATAAAGACAAGTCTCTGTCACTAATCTTTTCAGTCCTAAAAGATTTCTCAGGGGCATTTTTTTTTCCTCCTCCCTATCCCCACAGTTCTTGAGAAGCAAGCACCAGCCCCAGGACAGATTGTTAAGAAGTATGTCTTTGCTTTCCTTCTGCCCTCTCTTACTACCTTTTCACAGCCCTCCCTCACTTCCTCTTTTCCTTCCTTCCTTCCTTCCTTCCTTCCTTCCTTCCTTCCTTCCTTCCTTCCTTCCTTCCTTCCTTCCTTCCTTCCTTCCTTCCTTCCTTCCTTCCTTCCTTCCTTCCTTCCTTTTTTCCTTTTTTCCTTCCTTCCTTCCCATTGCCTCAGACAAACTGAGACCTGGGAAAGACCTTAGCTAAAAAAGACCAAGGCCTCCCACTACATCCAAGGCCACCTCCAGTTGTTCTGATCTATATCTTGCCACTGGACCCCGATGGCTGTGGAGGAGAAAGTGAGGCAGATGACTTTGCACAGCCCTGCTTCACTTACATCCAATTCACTTGCAAGTCATCACCTTTCTGATGCCATGGTCCTCTTCAAGAATGAAGGGCAAACAATAACAACTAGCTTCTCAGGAGCTTGGTTCTGTGTCTTCTTGTAGGTCTCATGAGACCTGTTAAAGTAATCCCTACTAACAAGAGTAATAATATCTTAACAAGGAACTCCTGATAATTGGAAAAACTTTAAGAATAAAAGGAATGAATTTTTTTTTTAGGCAGTTGGGGTTAAGTGACTTGCCCAGGGTCACACAGCTAGTAAGTGTCAAGTGTTTGGTCTGAGGCCAAATTTGAACTCAGGTACTCGTGACTCCAGGGGCCAGTGCTCTATTCACTGTGTCATCTAACTGCCCCTGGAATGAATTTCTAATGGTGAAATTTGAGAGTACAGTATGGTAAATATTTGTGAGATTTAAAGGGGAAGTTTCTTGGTACCCTTTAACTTGGCACCCTATGACTGATTATTCTGCCCACTCACACTGCTGCCAAGCTTCCCCTCTTCTAATTAATATATTATTAACAAACAACAATTCATATCATTGATCACTTCCTAACCTGTTGTTGTTCAGTCATTTCTGTCATGTTTGACTCCTTATGACTCCATTTGGGGTTTTCTTGGTTTTCTTCCTTACCTATACCTTTGACAAACCTTCTATTTACAAAACTAAGCTTATATCTGAATACGTTTAAAAATCTTAAGACTCAAAACTGAATTAGGTTTTTAGGTGGTCTCATCACATCCCAGTGGCTATTCATTTATAATCTACTGAATATTACCCTAAGGAAGCATGGAATTTTATCTCTTTGCCCACAGAAAAATTTTTCCTTCCACCAATTAATTGCAAATAATATATGTAAATAAAGGTTGATGTTCAACCTGTTACATATTATTGCAAAACCAGGAAATAAACATTTGACTCTTTTAATAGTCCTTACGTCTATCAATTTCAGTAACTGATTTTAATATCACTTCAAAGAGTAACTGACGTAACTGTTTGGATGATCTATTTAAAAGCCTATCAGGAAGACAGATTTCCATATGTTTAGCATCTCCTGTTTTGATTTTAGTATATTATTACAAAAAGAGAATTCACTTAAACAGCGGCTGGCAAGAGATTTTCTAATGACAATTTTCCATTTTCCATAGCCTAACTATACCAGGTCATGTGACCAAATTTTGTCTACACAACATCAGACCTACCATTCTGTAATCTCTCTACCCAAGTGAAAGTGATCGCTCCTTCCCGACTGCTTTCGCTGAATCTCAGCAGAAATGTCCCAGGTTGTTGATCTTTCAATAATGCCCGTTCCTGCTCCTTGCTTATAAAGCCCATTATAGACCTGTATGTGCAAAGAGAATTTATGAGAAGCTATCTTTTGGTTTAATAGAGATTTTTTACTTTTATGTGATGATACACTAAGAAAGAAAATGGTCATCTAAAAGGGGCTTATGAAAATGTAGAAATTAATGATACCATAAAGGTTGTCACGTTATTAAGGATAATATAGGAACTCTGGAAAGAAGCAGCATGATCTAGTGAAGAGAATGAAGTTGTAAATCAGAAAGACTTGGATTATTCTGCTTCTGATGGATAATGGTTAGGTGACCCCGGCAAGGCATGCAAACCCTCATTCATCCAAGACAGTGGTTATCCACGTAGAACACAGTGCCATTCAAATACAAATTTTGCTTTGCTTTGCTTAGTTATTTTTCAGTTGTGTCTGACCCTCCATGACCGTATTTGGGATTTTCTTGGCCAGGATACTGGAGTGGTTTTCTCTTTCCTTCTCCAGCTCATTTGACGGATGAGGAAATTGAGGCAAACAGGGTTAAGTGATTTGCCCAGGGTCAAGTGTCTGAAACTGGATTTGAACTCACGAAGACAAGTCTTCCTGACTTCAGGCCCAGCACCCTATCCATTGCACCACTTAGCTGCCTCAAATTGGGGGAAGGGGCACTAATCCATAAGCACCATATGTTGATTTTTTTAAAAGTAATTATATCTATGTTTACTTGCATTTTTATTTATTTTGTTAAATATTTCCCAATTACATTTGGATCTAGTTAGGGCAGCACTGGGAAGTATTGTGGGCTGGTGGCCACATGTTTGACACCTCTGCCATAGGAGTCTCTTTAAAACTATAATAACAGCTAAGGGAGCCCTAACTATGCTATCTGATCTGATCCTCTGAACAACTCCAGGGAGGTAGGTGCTATTATTATCTCCACTTTACAGATGAGGAGACTGAGGTAGACAAAGATTAAGTGACTTGCCTAAGGTCACATAGCTACTTAACATCTAAGGCCAGATTCGAACTAGGGTCTTCTTAGCTTCAGGGTCAGCATCCTCTCTACTGTACTAACTGCCTCCTATTACCGACTGAATTAAATTTCTGTTAGGTCTTATTATTTCAGCATAATTTTATAAGTAGCAGATTGTCTAGATTTCTTAAGTATGTTTTATGACGGGACACCCAGTTCAGCAAACATACTTTCCTGAGCTGGTAGCCTGTTTCAAGGTGAAAGTCTTTACTTTTATAAGAGTTTACTTCCCCTTCTGGTGCCATCCTATGGAATACCCTTGGGATGGTGTCATAGGGGTGATGCTTCATGCTTTCCCAAATAAGTGGATTTTCCCCCAGTGTCTGTCAAGATGCAAGGTTTTGCCCTAGTGGTCTAGTGCCAAGAACATTTTGGCAAAAAGTAATATCTTTAATTTGGGGCCAAACATTTTCCACTAAGTATTCATCTATGAAATTTAATGTAAATTTAGAAAGCTAACTAGAAACAATCCTGGATATATTGGAAGTGTTTTATTGTTCCTTATTTATTATGAATATCATCAGCTTTTTTTTTTCTTAGTTGTCAAATTCATGTAAAGCTACATCTGTGAAGAAGGGACAAAAAGGCATATTTTAGTCACTGTTCCCAAACCTACGTTGCTTCCCACTGCCTCAAAGGTAAAGTAGGATTCTTCCTCTGGGCATTTAAACCCTCTACAATCTAGCTTCTAGCTACCTTCCAGCTTAATTTCATTTCCCCTAAAAATCAGTCAATCCCAAAACATTTATTAAGCGCCTACTATGTGCCAGGCACTGTACTAAGCACTGGGGATACAAAAAGAGACAAAAGAGAGTCCCTGCTCTCAGGGAGCTTACAATCTAATGAAGGAGACAGCAGGCAAACAAATATGTACAAACGAGCTACATAAAGGATAAAGAGAAAGTAATTAAAAGAGGGAAGGCACTGGAATTATGAGGAGTTGGGGAAGGCTTCCTGTAGAAAGTGGGATTTTAGATGGGACTTGAGGGAAGTCAGGGAAGCCAGGAGGCACAGATGAAGAAGGAAAACATTCTAGTCATGAGGAACAGAGAGAAAAAATGCCAGGATCCGAGAAATGGAGAATTTTGTTTGTGGAACAGCCAGGAGGCCAGTGTCATTGGAGTGACGAGTATGTGTCATGGAGTGAGGTGTAAGAAGATTGGCATGGTAAAAGGCGGCAAGGTTAGGAAGGGCTCTGAATGCCAACCAGATAATTTTGTATTTCATCTTACAAATGATGAGAAGCAACTGGAGTTTATTGAGTAAGGGGTGTGTGTGTGTGTGGTGTGTGTGGTGTGTGGTGTGTGTGTGTGAGAGAGAGAGAGAGAGAGAGAGAGAGAGAGAGAGAGAGAGAGAGAGAGAGAGAGAGAGAGAGACATGGTCAGATCTATGCTTTAAAAAAATGACTTTGGAGGCTGAATGGAGGATGTATTAGAGTTCAGAAAGACTTGAGACTCACCAGCACGCTACTGCAAAAGTATAGACGTGAGGTGATGAGGGCCCACACTAGAATGGTGGCATTATCAGAGGAGAGAAGGCAGTATATTTAAGAGATGTTGAAGAGGTAAAATTGACAGACCTTGGCAACATATTGGATTGGGGGAGGGGAGGTTAAAAGATAGTGAGGAGGCTAGGATGAGTCCTAGGTTTAAAGGTGACTGGAATGGGAGGATGGTGTTGCCTTTTACAGTAATAAGGAAGAGATGTGGGGGTGGGAGTGGGGGATTTCTATCTTGGACATGTTGAATTTAAAATTGGACATGCCGTTCAAGATGTCTGAAAGGCAATTGGATATGTGAGACTGGAGGTCAGCAAAATCTGGAGCAGGATAGGTAGATCTTAGAATTGTCTGCACAGAGGTGGTCACTAAATCCACGGGAACTGATTTCACCAAGTGAGTAGTAAAGATGAAGAAGAGAAGAGGGCCCAGGGCAGAATCCCAAGGGACATCTTGTTTAGAGGTCATGATCTAGGAGAGAATCCAGCAAAGGAGACAAAGAACAAGTGGTCAGACACCTAGAAAGAACTCTAGGAGAGAAGAATGTTAAATCAAGACAAGTCAAGTCAAGAAGCATTTATCAAGCCCTTCCTATGTGCCAGGCACTGTACTAAATACTGGAGATAAAAATACGAGCAATATCTAGCTGCTTCTCCTCTAATGGGGGCTGCCTGGTCTGAGCCCTTCCTCAAAATGGAGGTTTGGGGAAAGACCCACCAGTGGGAGAAGGGAGTTGAGAGAAAAGGCAGCTGAGGTATGGTGGCCAAGTCTGGAGAGTAAAGCATAACCTAACTTTGTGAATTCTACATTGCAGAATACAGACTGCAAGCTAACCACTAGCCATTCTCTGGACTCCACTTTCTGTCTCAGTGCATTTGCATAGCTAACATCCTCCATGTCTAGAATATGCCCACTCCTTACTTCTCTGAGGTTTTTCAGCATCCTCATCTTTCCTCTAGACTCAGCTAAGATCTCATCACTTCAAAGAAGTCTTACCAAACCCTGCCAATGGCTCCTGTTCTCTCACCCCTCCATTTTACTTTTATTATTCTGATTTAGATACAACACTCATTTGTATATCTCCCCCAAGAGAACGTAAGCTTTTGGAGGGCAGGTCCTATTTAATTTTCGTCTTTGTATCTCCAGGACCTAAAAAAGGGCCTTGCACAGAGTAAGTACTTGATAAGTAGTTGTTGATTTGAATTTATTGGCTAGCATCTAGTATGACAAAATCCTCAAGGAAAAGCCCACAGGTATGTTCCTCAAGAAGAGAATTCAGTGATGAGGCAATGTTGAGAATAGTCTAGAAGAATAATTAAACATGGCACCTAGAGCTTAGTCATGCCCTACGTATGCAGCAGCAGGTCATATATCCAAAATACATCATAGAAAACAACCATCTGTCAACCTTACCCATCATTCCAGAGACAAATTAGATGCTTTTTAATGAGTTCAAGGATGCCCTCGATCCAAAGCCAGAAAGAAAAATTTTTATCATTTATATTTTCCTGAAATGACAAATCCATGCATTAGAAAATTTTTTCCGAAAAATCTAAAACAATTATTATGACAACACATTTGCGTAACACTTAAAGTTTTATAAACCACGTTCCTCACAAACACTCTATGAGGTAAGTAGACCAAATATTCATGTCTCCATTTTACAGATGAATTATCTGTGACTCAGAAAAGTTAATTGACTACAAAGCTAGTAAGTTATCTGATTTAGGATTGAAGCCCAGGCCTCTTGACTATACATCTTCCCGACAATATGCTGCCTCTCACGGTGGACTCTCAAACCCACATCTGAATCGAGCTTGCCCTGCATAGCTGACAAAGCCAGAGAATTCTTACATGTAAAACCAGATACGTCTCAGAGATGGATCTTATCCATCCTGGTCTGAAGACAAAATCAACAGGAACTGCAAATCTATTCTCAACAGTATTCAGACACCAAGTTTCTTATTTCTTTTCCACTGGTTCTACCTCCTCACCAAACCAGAGAAAAGCTATTCAAGTAGAGACTCCCCAAAGTAAAAACAAATTGCTTCCTTCTCTTTGGTGAAAAAAACGGAAACTAAAGTCATTTTTGGAGAAATATAATTAGCCACCCTTCTCTGCAAAAAACATTGTAGCATAACTTCCTGGCTTTTCCCAAATGATTAGACTCAGGAGATTACCCAGTGCTAGCAAACTTCTGGCCAGAGAAGAGCATAGGGCTCTTCATACAGAACTGAATAAAATTTTCTCTGGAGAGATTTTCAAGGGGAGTGAAGAGATCTTAAGGAAGTAACAGGATATTATCACTCAGCTGAAAGCTTCCTTTTGGGATTCACATTAGAATACCAAATATGTGGGTTACTCCATAGAAATTTAATTTTTCCCCCCCTAAGGATTCCTTGGGTGGAAGCAAAGTTCCAAAGGGGAAGTGGATGACTGAAACAAAGAACAAAAACAGAAGCTCAGCTGCAGGACCATGATCTTTCTAACCAACTCAAACAGATACTCAAACAGATGAAGAACCTACCTTGCAGAATCTTGTCCAAGGAATAAGACCATCGGAAATGGAGGCATTGGGCCCTAAGCAAGCAAGCAAGCAAACAAAAGCAATGTTCTCAGCAGGATACAAATAGCATTACAAAATTTTAGTTAGACTAAAAGCTTTGTACACATTCTCAAAAAAAGATACAACATGGAAAAGTTTATCTTTGAAGGATCTACAAATTTGATACCAGCCAAAAGGCAAATAGAACGAAAGGAAGCAGGTCATTATGCATCTTCCACTCCTCACTACCTCCAATAATAACATAATGTAAATAACAAATGTTCTGGAATAATCAGTGTATTTGGCTGATTTTAATGAGGGAAATGGATAGACGATGCAGAATGGGAAAAATGATTTTTAACAGTATTTTAAGGAAGAAAAAATCCTTTAGTTCACTTCTTCCTCTGATACTGTCTTTCTTCTCCTCCACTGGATCCTATATGTCTGCTTTAAAACCTGTACAACACAGGTCCCTGTGATGCCATAACCCCTGTCTCTGAATGGTAGGAGGAATGTTCTGTTTATACATTTTAGGAATTTAGATCTAAACAAAAAGAAGGGAATGGCAGAGGTAGGGGCACATGGGCATCGAATACTGCTAACACTGTCAGAATGTAGTTATGTTGGTTGGTTTTTCTGCTTTAGGAATTTCCTTTTTCAATCTTTATTTACTTATTTATTTATTAATTTTTTTTTTTGGCTAGGCAATGGAGTTAAGTGACTTGCCCAGGGTCACACAGCTAGTAAGTGTTATGTTCACGAGGCCGGATTTGAACTTAGGTCCTCCTGAATCCAGGGCTGGTGCTCTATCCTTTTTACATCTTTTACAAGGGCACACTGAGTATACTCAATACTAAAGAAAGTCTGGAAAAAGTATGAAATTATTCGCAAAAAGCCACGAACTTCTATCACTGATTATTAACTGGGCCTCTTGGCAACTTCCTGGGAAAAATTCTAATCTGTAGAGTGAGACATAATTGGACTCTCTCACCAACAGAGATTTCACAATCACCTTTCCTGGAGCTTTTCACACAAAGGGGTGATTGCTTTTTTCCAAATGGCTGAGATGCATCAGTTGGATAATATGACATCTCAAAGACCCTTGAAATTTAGGACTTTACGAATGTTTTTCTTCCTCCCTCCCAATTGCTTTTCTATCAGTTAGAAAACTACCAAAAGTTTTTCCTTCTACATTATCATTCATTTTTCCACTTTTCTCTGAATGTTTTTATTATACATTATTTCCTAAGTCCCTTACAAAACTGAGAGTGCATCTACTCCTAAGGTAAAAATGTGCTTTCAATACTCATCTCAGATGCTGTTAGACCTCCTACCCCTGGCCCCTTATCTAATACCCCCTAAGCGTTGCCAAAAGCATTACATTGTAGAGAATGCCTATCCTTGTGTAAAAGGCCATGTGCAAGGAAGAACAATACTTAGTAGCTTAGTAGCTATAGAAACCAAAGGACAGACTTAGAACAGACTTTAAGAGGTTACTAAGATCATTCTTTCACCTTCAAACCACTCATTCTAGCCTAGACAAATGGATGGAAATCATATTTCTTTCCCAAATAAGAAAAAAGGAAAACAAAAGTTTCTTGACTATTAGCAAAATAACTTCAAAGATATGTATTAAGTCAACATAAACCAAAGATCTTGGAAGAATGGTTTATCTTAATGTAATACTGTTTATAAATAAAATATACAACTTGGTATATACAATTTTACACAAAGTAAACAGCTAAATTTTTCCATGACTGTAAAAGAATGGCACAGATAACTTCAGTTTCCTCATCTGTAAAATGAAGGTGCTGGACAAAATGACTTCTGAAGTTCTTCCAAGCTCTAGATCTGTGATCCTATGTACATAAATAGGAACCATTCTCTGCAGTAGCTTTAGACTTACAAGGTGTCTATAATGGAACTCCGATGTGTTCAGTGTCAGTAGATTAGCAAACCCTTGAAAGAGTGTGGACCCGAGATTCTCTACACATATCTTATACTCTCTGATGTTTGATGAGCTACAGGTGTGGGAGCCATCTTATTACATGGAGTGTCAAGGTTCATAGCATGAAGTAGCCTCATCCTAGTGCCTTCTATGAGGATCAGCTAGAAGTGTCTATCAAAACCATGGGGGACATGTATCTGCTTCGTGTAAAGGACTCTTCCTCAAGTGTCATCCTATAAAATATCTTTGGAATAATGTCATAGGGCGAGTGAGAATCTAAATCTCTACACTTTCACGAATAATGGATTTTCCTGTCATATGTGACAAGCTACAAAATTTTACCATACTTTTCATAGGATCATGGAATCAAGGCGGAAAGGGATCTTAGGGGTCATTGAATCCAACCTCTCATTTTACCAATAAGGAAACAAAGGCCCACAGAGTTTAAGTTACTTGCCCAAGGTCATACAGGTTATAAATGTCTGAGGCAGGATTTGTACCCAGATCTTCCTGACTCCCAGTCAGCGCTCTATACACTATAGCATGTTACCTCTCAAGAGTCAAGAATATTTCAGCAATAAGGGATACGTTTAACTCGGATATATTTAACTAAACATTTTATAGTACGTATCAAATCTGAAATTGTTATATGTGCAAAATTAAGAGAAAAAACGGATCACTTTTAAAACACTTCTTTCATAAAGAGAAGGATACCTATAATAATGATAATAACAACTCACACTGTGCTTTAGTTTTTACTTAATATGTTCACCCTAATGACTCTACAAGAGGCAGTATAAGCATAATTATCTTGATTTTTAAAATGAGCAAACCGAAGCCTAGAGAGGTGACCTCACTTGCCTGTGATCACATGACTAGTAAATGTCTACCAGGATTCAAAGATGTCTTCTGGTTGCAAGTTACTTTCCTTTAGGACACACTGCCTCTTCATCTATCACAATTTAAATATCTAATAGGAAATTAACTTCTCAGGATAGCAAAGAGGAAACAGAGAATTTTTTTAAGAACCAAGAATCTTTTATAGATAGATTAAAATAAAGTCCATATGTTCATACCTAGGAGTTTCTCACCCAACATGTTCAGCTGTTCTAAATTAAGTCCTCTTTTTGTGACAGACGAAAATTGCCAACTCAACACCTCTGAAAGTTGAGACCATTTTGCACATGGTGGGTTCAGAAAGAAGGATAAATTCTAAAGAGAAAACATAACACAAAAATCCTTAAGGACAACTGCAGAGGGACCAAAAAGGACTAGGTGCTGAAAGTCGTGCCTACTCATAGGCCTAAATTTTCAAATCCTTTTGCACAAAATCATACAGCAGTTCCAGAATAAAAGCAGATCTAATGTGCCAACAGCAGAAGAAAGTGAAAGTAGAGAGGGAATCTTTGGATGGAATAGAAAGACAAAATAAAATAATGTTAAAGGTTAAACTTCAGTCAAACTTTCAGAAAAATCAAAGTTTATTTAGTTTATTTATATTTTGTAACCAAAAAGAAGGGCCACAAAGGTTTCAGGAAACAAATTATAATCTGTTTCCATTTGTCTGTATGTCCTCAGTGCCAAGGATGGTCCTGGCAGAAAGAAGGAATAAAAGCTCAATTGAATCAAATGCAATTGAATCTGAGTTTATAAGCAAAGGAAGAAAATCACAGATCTCTTTTCTTATACCTGTTTCAGTTTTTCGAAGTTCCTTATAATCTTTACACATTTGTCTGTATGAGTTCTATGTTTTTCACTGAAGTTTTATTTGGCCAGTTAACATCATTTGAAGATTCCTAAGCTAGAGTAACAAGGCCCTTTGGTTAATTTTTTATTCTAATAACTGAATAGCCTCAATACCTTGGGTTCTGTTGTTAGCATGTTGTACCATAAAATGGATGCCCATCCACTGGGAAGTTGGCTTACGTTGGAAATCACAACAACAGGCAGAGATGTTGTCTAAAAGAAGAAAAAGACTTTGAGGCAATCTAAATTAGAAACATTTCACCCTTATCCAGTCACAAAAACATAAGTTACTCAATGTGCTCAGAAGAAATATGCATTTACAGATATACATATATTTTGTTTTGTACCTTTCTCCCCCTAGTTTGGTCAAGAAATTTTTTATTATTCATGTACACAAGAGAAAAACAGACAATGGCAATGTAAGTAGGTCTCACAATCATCTTCTACAACCAACTGGATATTAGCTGAACAATGTATAGTCATACAACTGGGTTGGGAAGACAAAGAATAAATAAGAGGTGGCACAAAGTTGAAAGGTAAATGGAGTTTGGGTAGCAAGCAGTACAATGCTGGGAGAGGAATGGACAAAGTTAGGAGATCGGGGAAGGTATGAACTCAGTAAGAGAGCTGTAACTCAAACATCCTAGGGGAAAGTAGGGCAAGTTGAGCAGCTGCTTTCCATTGATCTGCCAAGGGATAACTCTCCATCCCATGGAAATGCATTACCCCATAGATGCTTAGAGTCAGTAAATCTAGGCTATCCTCAGGCTTTCACAATGATGTTGAACTTTCCAAAAGCACAACACCACAACTGTTAAAAGGAAGACTATTTAAAAAAAATTTAATTAATTTGTTTTTAGTTTTCAACATTCACTTCCATAAGCTTTTAAGTTTTAAATTTTCTCCCCTTCCCCTCCCCAAGGCAGCATGCAATCTGATATACGTTCTACATATACATTCTTATTAAACATATTTTCACATTAGTCTAGAAGAATTAGAACAAATGGGAGGAACCACGAGAAAGAAGAAACAAAACAAAAAAATAAAAAGAGAGAGAGAGCAAATAATATGCTTCGATCTGCATTCTGACTCCATAGTTCTTTCTCTGGATGAAAAGGAAGACTTTTAAGATACCCACTTGAGTTCGTTGTTTAACTCAGCACTGAGAAACTTTTTTTTAATTTAAAGAAAAATCCCTAATAAATACAATTTGAGAAATTAAAAACATTGGGCAAATATAACTTCAATAATTCAAAGGTAAATTTAACTCCCAGTTACCTGAAGAGCTGAATTCATAAATAGTAATTCATGGCAGCACAGCCACAACCAAAAAGCAAGCAAATACCTTGTAAGTAAGACATGGTAGCTGGAGAAAGTTGGAGATAAAAATACATGGAGGAAAAACATAGCTGACAATTACTTCTACTTTTGGCAAGTATTTGGCAGTTTTCATGCAGAGGCTGCATCACTACCTCTCCTGGGAGGGGCTACTTCATGAATGGGTGAAAAGAGAGGCAACCAAGGTGCCTTCCAACTCTCAAATTCTAGGATTCTATGAAATCTGAGGCTTACCTCTAGATCAATTACCAAGCCGGGCTGGCACAACTGGGTCTCAAAGCTTAGGGAATGAAGCTCTTCAGTAACAATGAGAGGACCCTAAAAAAACAGATATGCACAAAATTATTTAAGTCTCAAAGCAATTAATTCATTTACTCTAACTTTTTATATGGCAAACTAACATTTTAAGAGGTGGGACTGAGGCTTAACCATAACCAGTTTCAAAATAGGAAAAAAACAAAAACAAACCGCAAAAAATAATTTCATCCCAAATTTTTCATCAAACATGAAAGAATGGATACTTTCTAATAACATCTCCTGGGCATGCTCATCATAAAGGGATTTTGAAAATGATGAAGTGATGACTACAGCAGTGTAGTGCTGAAGAAAGGACTATGATTCTGGAGTCAGAAGATCTGGATTCAAATGCCATGTTCGATGATTATTACTGGAGAAAGTCACTTAACCCACATAGGCCTTTCATCTGTAAAGTTAGGGAACCAAATTATCAGGTGATTTCTCAGAAGTAATTTCCAGCACTCTAAATCTGATCTTATGAAATTATTGAGAATGTGGCCATTACAGTTTCAAGCAGAGGATGGACTAAATGGATAGTAAGCCCCCTTCCAATTCTGAGATAAGATGAAAACATGCTACCACATGACAACAAGAAAAATCTAAGTGTTAGGGTTTACAGAAGGAAGGAAGAAAGAGGGGAAGAGGAACAGGGGTTAGTTACCAAGGCAGACAGTGAATTGAGTTTATTTTCAATGAGCTTGAATAGCCATTTTGTCAGCAGGAGAACACAGACTGTCATAAACCCTTTGACGACCCATGAGTCCAAGGATGTCAGCCCTGACCTGAAAGGTCTGTAGCTATTTCCATGTGATAATTTAAGAAATGACTCTCTAAGATTACAAGTTTCACAGCAGTTGACAATATGTATATCAGTTGCCAATATGTATTGGTAGAGGATACTTCCTCACCAAGAAATCCCTATGGGAATGAAATCATAGGTCTGGGACCCTCCATCCCCCCCTTCCCCCCAAAAAAACCCTTTTAATGACCAACTATTTTTTGTTTCCCAAATGGAAAAAATATTTACTGGAAGGTACAAAATACTTCCAAACCTCGAATCTATGTAGTGATTTGTAGTTTACAAAACATTTTTACATCTATTATCTTACAACCACCCTTGCAATAGCTAGGGCGATTGTTATTTTGTAAATGAGGAAAGTAAGACAAGGAGAAAGGCCAAGACCACACACCTACTGAACATCAATGTCAAGATGAGATCTCAGGTCTCCTGACTCCTACATTAGTGCTCTTTCCAGCACATCACATGGTCTTCAGTATCTATAGGAAGTTCAAATGCCAATTGTCTTCTTACATATGGCCAAAGGATGAATCAGGAAGTGGGGTATTAGGAAGGTCTATTTTCTCTCCACATAAAAGAAGCCATATTGCAAAGCTAATGCCTTCCCTCCCAAAGTACTTTGCATTAGTTGCATTAATTCTCCTTGTATGTTATCTGTGTGCGTGTACACACATACTAGAATTAGAATACAAATTTTTTCTGAGTAGGGATTGTTTCATCCTTCTTATTTGTTTCAACATAGACTAGGTATGGTGATTGATATAGAGGCGTTGCTTAATAAATGCTTATTGATTGACTAATTGTAACTTCTTGATGCAAAGGGGAGAATTAAGCCTTTTCTGTACCACCTGAATGTAGACAAATCTTTCTGTATGTTTCATTTCTGTTTGTATGATAGCTTATTTTTTATTTTCTTAATCCTCACAAACTCCCTGAGATAAGTAGACAGCATGGTGAAGTAGAAAGAACACTGACCTCAGAAGACCTGGGTTCAAGTCTCATCTCTGCTACTTCCTAGCTGTGTGATCTTGGGTAAGTTACTCTACCTCTCTAGGCTTTAATTTCCTCAGATGGGAGATGAAGGTAATACTAGTTTCATGAATTATTTCACAGAGTTGTTGAGAAAAGTACTTTGTAAACAGCAATTCTCTATATAAACTGAGCTATTATTATTGTCCCCAATTTATAAATGGAAAAACTAAAGGAAATGGAAAAACCCATGTCCCATGTAAGGTCATGGCAGTTGAATTCATAGTCCCTTGTTCTTAGACTCAATAGCATCCTGATAACTATGCCCAAATATATAGAACATTCAAATCTACTATCTCTTCAGCCATAAGAAGCCCAAATCACAATGATGGTACTTCCGGTGGATAGATAATTTCATTGATGTAGATACTCTCTCTAGTGAACACTCTTGTCCATGTGTTCCCATAAATTGTCCAGAGTGGATATCCACAATGGACTAGATGCCCTTTGTGAATTTTGTCATCATTCACTCTTGCCACTCAATTGAACCAACTGCCTTTCAGATGATATTCCTGTAAAATACCTTCTATACCACTTCTGCAATACAAGTCATCCCTGATAACATCTTGAAGCCAACATGTGCTTACTATGCATCTTTCTGTTGTCCTCTGGGTTGCCCACAACTTGATTACTTTGGAGGTTAGCATATTCCATGATTCACAGCCATATACATCAATAAACGAATAATGGTGTTAAAAAAGATGGACTTTTGAGTCAGAGAGCAGTTTAGGAGGACAGAAAAGAATGTATAATTCTCTCCCCCCCCCAATTCAGCGCACTGTTATCCTCCTATTCAATTTTTAGACTAGCTCATTATCCATCTACAAAGACTGTCAAAGATGTATTTAGTAACAGGTAAACTCAATTGGCTACACATCCTGCGATATCATAGTCTAGACTGGTCATTCTTCGTTCATTGAACTTAACCTTTCCTGAGTAGATTTTCAGGAGTTCAACAGACAAGAGTGGAGGGTGGGGGTGGGGTGATACATCAGCACTACGTCATCTACAAACAAAATCATCTAGAAGATATCTTTATTTATAGAGAATCCTTGTTCCATTTGGACTTCAAGGATAGGCTTTATGACAAGGCCAACATTTTTGTCAAGTAAAGGTCTCCCTGTTTATGATTCACTTAAAACTAATCACTAGAGCATCATTGAACAAAAATATCTCTGTGATTGTGTCCATCAAGGAATCTTATGTAATTTTACATGTTTATGGAAAGACTCCTTGTTAATTGAGAGCCTTCAAGGTGATGTCCTGCTCACTGGATAAAGCTTTTTTTTTTTACATCAACAAATGATGATCTTGTATTTTCCCAGCCTTTTAGTGTAGTCATGTCACTGGATTGATAGAAAATTGTTTGTAAAAGGCAGGTTCTTCCTGTCTCTTCTTTTTCATCCAAAGGATCCTGTATGCATATGTATTATTCTCATAAAGGTTTTGTAGAGAGAGGAGTGAGGATGTGGGTTATCAGTCAACAAACATTTATGAAATGCCTACAATGTGGCAGATAGTGGATTGGGTGCTGGAAATACAAGTATAATGAATGAAACAAATTTTCCTTGCAAGAGCTTACATTCCAAATGGCCATATATAAATGCATATACACATATATGCATACATCCTCTTTAACAAAGTCTTGTCATATTACATCTATTTATGTCACATTACATACATATATAGCGTGTATATACATGTGTATACATATATGTGTGTGTACATGTACATATATGGAAAGAGAGAGAGCACAGATGAAAAGTTGGGAGTTAGGGAACAAACAGTTGGGGAGATCATGAAAGGCTTCAAGTAGTAGATGGTGCTTTTTCTTTTTTTGAAGGAAGAGAAAGATTCAGTGAGGCTAAGGTGTTACGGGAGTGTATTCCAAGCTCAGGGAAAAGCCATTACAAAGGTTTAGAGACAAGAGATGGAGTAGAAGGAGTGTTGGGTATGAGGATAGAAAGAAGGCTAGTTTGAGTAGATAGCAGAGGGTGGGAGGTGGGATATTATACAATGGGCTGCTGTACAATGAAACTGGAAAGATCAGTGGGTCCAGGTTTGGAAAGGTTTCAAAAACTAAACAAAGTTTATATATTTTATCCTAGAGGCAATAGGAATTCCTTGGAGTTTATTAAGTAGGAGAGTGACATGGTCAGACCTGTGCTTGAGGAAAATCATTTTGGCAACAATATAAAGAATGGAAAAATGTGTCAATACTTGAGGAAGGAGACCAATTAGGAGGCTGTTGAAATAATCTAGCCAAAAATGATGAAGGCCTTGAATTAATGATGCAGTTTGCAGAGAAGGGGTCTGATGCAAGAGATATGAATGTTTTGCCAAGTGATTGGAAATATGTGATGAGGAAGACTGAGGCTGATGGACAGGATGGAAAAATAAGAAATTTCTCTTACCTCATTAGTTCTGGTGCCTGCATTTTTCTGTTCTTTCAGTTGCTATAAAACAAATAAACAAAAAATCCTTATAGTATATGTCATGCTAACTTTTATTTTTTAAATTAACCATAAACAAGAACAGAAGCAGACACAATCATACAGAAGAAAATTACGAGAGGGATAAATGCCATCATCTTGGTTTAATAATAGTGTAATAGATATAAAATAACCCCACTGCATTTTAATCTAAAGAATTATAGAGTCTTTTATTGAACTTAAAGCTCTTTGAGGGCAGGGACCATGCCCATTTCTCTTTAAATATCCCCAACATCTAGCACAGTCCATTGCACAGGAAAGGTACTGAATAAGTGACAGTTGAATAATGAATGAAAGAATTACTATACCTGCCTAATAGAGTAACATCATGCCAAATACCATAGGATAGCTACTAGGATAAAGAGTTTCTATTTTTTTTCTTCCTGAGCAAATTTGTTCTGGCCTGGCTACAGAAATTCTATACCATATCATTCCTGACCCAGCAGACTTCTTCTTCCCCTTCTCCTTGTAGATTAGTTCCACTCTAAGACAGGCCTCTGAGTCTCAGATCAAATCAGTATTATCCTTGCAATGGATCTAGCCCCTGGGATTGTACTAGAACCAATCTGCTACCCCAGGATTGTGATAACCCAGGAATAAGCTAGACCTCCCAAATATGCCCTGTCCCTAGGCCAGCCTGTCATAGGTCCCCTTTGTCCTCATTTATTTTCAGCTATAAAATGAAGGGATTGAATCTGATGGTCTCCATGGCTCCTTCTGATTCTGGATCCTAACATTTTGCTTTGTTTTGTTTTTTTTCATCTTATTTTTAAAAAAATCAATGGAAGGGATTTGTAATGAGGTCATTTAACACCAAGTTTTGTGTTGTCTGGAAGGCTTGCTGTTTCACCAATATTTAATTACAAAAAAAAAATTTTAATTCCCCATAAGCTCCTTTAAGGCAGATATAATTCTATTTCTTTTGGAACTATTTCTTTGGTATATTCCCCGATAATTCCCCCAAAGTTATTTTAACATGGTTCCACCTACAGTAGGTACTCAATAAAGGCAGGCTTACTTGTAATTTAACGTTGTTTCTGAGGCTTCAGGCAAGAAGATAACTTCTAAATTAAAAATCAGTATGCAAGTGTGTAAATTAAATAAATTTGCTCATACCCTAATTTATGCCAGGGAGAATATTATAACCCCTATCTTCATGGAGACAAGGAAAAGCTAACAAATGTAATACTGGGTTTCACTGAACATGATGTCCAATGAGTTAGTTCAAGGGAAAAGTTAAGGGGTCAGAGAGAAAACTGGTCAGGACAATCCCTTCAGAAAGGGTTATGATTCAGTTTGGTTTGGAGGACCTTTGTTTTTTCATCAGTAAAAGGAGGGAGTTGGACTTAAAAATTTTTAATATCCTTGCCAATTTTAAGAGTCAATGATTTTACATAAATAACTTTAAAAAGACAACATGGTGTATTAGAGAGAAGAGACCTTCAAATCAGACACACTTGGGTGAGCTCAAAGCCTATTTCTAACACATACTGTTTGTTTGACCCTGGGCGAGTTCACCTAACTTTTCAACATCCCAGATGGTTCTGTAAGACTATCAGTACAGAGAAGGCACTAATCTGCATGGGTTGAGGTCTTCACAAGGAGCCCTCTAGACCAATGAAATTATAGGTCTGGTAAAAAAAAAAAAGAAGCTAGAATAGCTTTAGCAGCTGGTGTCTTTGAGTGTCTTCTTTCCTCCTGTCAATACCAAATGACTTAGTTACTGAAGGTGGAGGATTCTTTGGAATCCTTTGGAATGTCTTCTTCCTTTGTCTGATCTGAAGGACAGCTCTCTTTAATTTAGCAAAACTATACTAAAAAAGCTATACTAACAAAATAACTCCCTCATCTATTTCCTATGGTAAATGATATACATTTTCCTTTAACAAGAACACTATTTTTTTCTTTGCATGGCTGCCTGTATTTTAATTAATAGCTTTTTCCTTTGTTTTATATTATGTATAAATGTTGCTTGCTGAATTGTGAATTATGCAATCCCTATTAACTGCTGGTGGAGAATGTGATACCCTTGAGTGTCATACGGCCTGTCTGTTGATTTATTCAGGCCTATTGCCTTTAGCTAGTCAAATTGATAAGAAAATTCATGCAATAAAAGGATGGGTATAATTTGATAAAACACAGAGGAGGAATTTCATGCAAAGGAAACAGCATAAGCCAAGGCCCAGAACTGAGAAAAGGGCAAGGTATGTAACCTAATTTGGCTCAAACATTAGGTATGTGTAGGGAAATGATGGGCAATAAGCCTTGGAAGGTAGGTTGGAGCCATGCTGTATATGGTGTCTGAATACAGGGTTGAGGAATTTGGATTTTTATTCTGTAGGCAAAGGGGAAGCCAGTAAACATTTTTAAGTGGGAAGTGACATGAACAGAGATATACTTTAGAAGGTTAATCTCACCTTGTATGTAAGATAAATTGAAGGGGCAAGATTAAAGGTAGGGAGACCAGTAAAGGGGTTGTTTAAATATTCTAGGTATGAAGTGATAATGGCCTAAATTTCTATGGCAGTAGTGAGAAGAGAAAAGAAAGGGAAAATATTAGATACATTTTAAAGGAAAAATTGACAATATTTGATTAGAAAAGTAAATGAGAATGGAGCTTTCAAGTGTAGATGATACTACCATTAACAAAAGCAGGAAAGTAGGCAGACTTTGTATACATTTTGTATTTAATTTCCTATATACACTTCAAGAATATAAGCTCTTTGAGGGCAGGGGGTGTTTTGTTTTTGTATCTCCCTCATGTCTAGCATAGTCCCTGGCATATGCAAGATTGTTGAATTGAGGGGCAGCTAGGTGGTGCAGTGGATAGAGCACCAGCCATGAAATCAGGAGGTCCTGAGTTCAAATCCGGCCTCAGACACATAACACTCACTAGCTGTGTGACTCTAGGCAAGTCACTTAACCCCAATTGCCTCACCAGAAAAAAAAATATTGTTGAATTGATGTCAGAAGTAGAGAGAAGAGGGTAGTGGCCTTGGAAGAATTCCCAGATAGGATGTGGAAGAAAGAGGGAAAGTGAGGGAAGGAGTCAGAGAGGTCAAAGAATGAGAAGAGCCAATATAGTTAGGGATCTCAGAAGATGAGGGGCATATTTCAAGAAGGATGGCATGGCCAATAGTATCAAATGAGGCACGAGTCAAAAAGGACTAGAAGCATCCAACATGGCCCATTACCTGAGTCAACCTCAGACAATAGTTTTAGTAGCATGCTGGAGGCAGGAGCCAAACAACAAGGGGCCAGGAGCGAGTAGATAATGAGAAAATCACACTAAGTGTAAGCTACTTAAGTTGTAGATACTTTGAACATTGCACTTTCCTCCTGCTTTACTATAAGTAAATCTTATCCCTTCCTAAATGCCTGACTGAGTATGTGATTTGGTAGGTAAAGGGAGAATTAAGGGGAAAAGCCTTGCTCTTGCAGTTATTGTCTAAGGAAGAAAAAAATTATAATACCTTGGATGGTAGGACAGCAGGAGGCAGCCTGGATAGAGCATTAAACTTGGAATCAGTGATATCTGGGTTTGAATACTGTCTCTAACACTTGTTACCTGTATAGCCTTGGGTAAGTCACTTAAAATCTCCCCACCTTAGGTTCTCCATCTACAAAATGGGGATAATAATAATGCCTATCTCATAGGGTTGTTGTAAGGATCAAATGAGAAAAAAATATATACATACACACATATATACATATATATAGAGAGAGACAATGCTTTGCAAAGTTTAGAAAGCTAAATAAGCATTAGCTAATTTTAATTATGATTATGAAAATAGTATTGAGAGGTCTGTTATTGTTGTTGTTTAGTTGTGTCTGACTCTTGGGGTTTTCTTGGCAAAGATACTAGAGTGGTTTGCCATTTCCTTCTCCAGTTCATTTTATAGAAGAGGAAATGGAGACAAACAAGGTTAAGTGACTAGTCTAGGGTCATACAGCTAGTAGGTGTCTGAGACCAGAGTTGAACTCAAGAAGATGAGTCTTCCTGACTCCAGGCCTGGCACTCTATTCACTATGCTATTTAGTCCTATTGAGAGGTTATCAGAAAGAAAATTCTGGAGTTGCCTTGACCAGTTTTTTTTCCCTCAGAAAGAGTTATTCATGTTGCTTTAAGATAAAACAAAGGAAAAAATACATAAAAGAATTTAAAGGTAATCTCCTCACCAGATGCCGAAACTCTGCTGCTAAGCTTCCATTAGTAGATTCCTCCATGTTCATTACTTTTGTGTGTGTCCCCAAAATGTTGAATTTCCTAAACCTATACAGAAGAAGTTAGAAAAATCTGTGAGGCTTAGAATGACAAAAAAAGAAACAGTGAAATTTGGCAAAAAGTGTTTCACCTACCCCTTTACTGTATTCTTCTCATTTACATCTCTGTAAAAGAAAATCAGATAGATAATGTAAGCTAAAAAACAAGCTTCACAAAATGACTTAGCCAAAAGAAATTTTTGCACACGTGTAAAAGAGAGCTAGATCCAAAGAAACTTGACACATATCTCCTCTGTGACCTGGAGAATATTCCAGTATAAACCTACTAGGATTTTTCCAATTTTACTCTTCAAAGGCCTCAGTGGGGAGATGTCCAGGGGCAAAGAGAACAAGATTGTGATTCTTTCACACTCTCATTTATAATTTCCTAAACTGAACTCTCTCAGTTGCCAAAAAAGTGACTAAATACATCCTGGGAATAAATGATTTGTCTGTTTTCCCTGAGTTACCTAATTCCAGTCTAAGACTAAAATTGTGGGCATAAAGTGCAATGGGCTTGCTCTATCTAAGGTAGAGGTGAGCCACCTCCCCTCTAGGTTACTCTTATCCAAAGTCAACTACTATAGAACAATTCTAAGGCTGACTTTTGGAGTTTCAGGTCTAGGACCATCAAGGTCACCCTGAACTGATGTGGTCTTGGAAATGAGTTTATCCTTGGCCCCAAGAATTGAAGCTGCTTCAGTCTCGTCTTGTCTGAAAAGAACAAAAGAGCCCACCTTCTGGAGATAGTGAGGAATTAAGCTGGTTCACAGGAGGGACTAAATTTTCTTTTGTGCAATGTTCAATTATTCTTCAGTTTATCAAGAGGTTACCAAGGCAGTTATTTTTACATTAATGGGCTTAGAAATCAATTCAAATATCCAATGAAAAGCCTATATATTTAACTCTGTATGGGTATGAAGGATGTACTTAATAGCAACATCAATCAATCAATCAATTAATTTATTTATTTATATTGCTAGGATCCAATGCACAATTCCAAAATAACGCATTTTCATTTTAAGTGTGTGTAAGGAACTAAAGCCCCCAAACACTGTTGTATATACTATTGCAATTAGTAGATATCTTATTATTATAATATTAATTGTATATTTCACTTTAAGTTGCATCAAGGAAATTTTGAAAGATGACTTACTTATCAAATAAGACTTTCACTTTCAAATTATAATTCAGTTCCTGTAATCTCACCAGCAATCTGGAAAGAAAAGGGAAAATAAAATACATGGAACATTAGTATCGCCCAATGCCATGCCTTTCTGCTAGTTGTTCTGATGCTTAGTGTACTCTCCCTCTCAATCTCCAACTCTTAGAATCCCTGGTTCCCTTTAGGACCAAGATTAAGTGCTACCTTTACTGAGCGGCCTTTCCTGGTTGCCCCAGATGCCAGTGCATCCCCTCTAAGTTCAACTTCTATCTACACTGCATTTATTTTGTAGGATATGATTTATGTGTTATCTTATATATTCTACCTCCCTCTTTAAACTGTAAGCTCCTTGAGGGCAGGGACTCACTCCTTTTTCTTATTTGTATCCTCTGCCCTTAGCACAGTGATAAGAATGCAAAATAGGAGCTTAATAAATGTTTATTGGATATTAAAAAATAAGACTGTAAGCTCCTCAAAAGCAAGGATAGCATTTTTTGTTATTTTTGTATTTCTGGAATTTTGCACAGAAACTTGTACCTAGTAGGTGCTTAATAAAATGAATGACTAGATCAGTCAAGAATGCCGCTTATTAAAATAAGTATCTATGAGCCATCTTTATTAAAAATGATAGCACAATAATTATTAGAAATCTACTTTGTGGAATGACTTTCATGGCTTCTGAATGAATTTTAAGACCAAATAGATCAGCTGGGGAATGGCTAAACAAGTTGTGGTACATTATTGTGATGGAAATACTACTGTGATAGGAAATGATGAGCTTAATAAACATGGATAGACTTGTGTGAAATAATGAAGAGTGAAATGAACAGAACCAAGAGAACATTGTATATAGTAACAAGATTTTTTTTGGGGGGTGGAGTAAGGCAATTGAGGTTAAGTGACTTGCCCAGAATCACACAGCAAGTGAGTGTTATGTATCTGAGGCTGGATTTGAACTCAGGTCCTCCTGAATCCAGGGCCAGTGCTCTCCCCGCTGCACTACCTAGCTGCCCCCCTTCAACATTGTTTTCAGGACAACTTTGAGTGACTAAATCATTTTGACTATTATAAATACCCAAATTAGCTACAAAGGACATATTTAGGAAGATACTATCTACATCCAGAAAAAGAACTGATAAATAGAAGTAGGTATAGAATGATTTTACATCTCTCTCTCTCTCTCTCTCTCTCTCTCTCTCTCTCTTTCTCTCTCTTCTCTCTCTCTCTCTCTCTATATATATATATATATATATATATACACACACACACACACATATATATACACATATATATATACATATATATACACACACACACACATATACATATACATATTTGTGTATAAAAGTAGTCATCTCTAGGGTAGGGAGGGAGGAAGGGAACAAAAAAGGGGGAAAAAGAAAACTACCTCATAACTTTATTACATATTTAAAAGGAATAGCAAGTTGAACATAACAGATTTGTAGTTTCATGTACAATCATCTTTTTTTTCCTATTCTATTATGTTATGGAAATGCTTGTTTTATTGCTTAAGTTCAGAATAAAATAAATACAATTAAAAGACCAAACAGATCTAAGAAAGCATTTGGGATGTAGTATGGTCTAATCTAGTACAAAAATTACTGGGCTAGGAGTCAGCAGATGCTACATTGCTCTAGGATAAAAAATCTCAACAGCTGTGAGCAAAAAAGAGGATCAAAGTCTTATCTTCCCACAAGGTAACACAATTCTGTCACTAAGAATCCTTTATGGTGGCTCCTCCATGACCTAGTCTCAGCTCTGTCATTAATCGCCTGTGTGATCTTGGCCAAGAGACAATCTCTCTGGATCTCAAGTTTGTCATCTGTCACATGACAGTACTGGACTATATGACCTCTAAACCACTTTCTAGTTGTTAATATTCTATGATTCTAAGGGTAGAGTAGAGCCCTTCTTAAAGGTCACACATATCATCCTTTCAATCTGATTATAATGACTCAGTCTCAAGAGGCCCTATATCAAGAGTGACTCTGTAAATTATGATACAATGGCAGAGTCTAAGGGACTCTAGGAGGCTGACTGACAGTATAGACAAAAAATTAATAGAAAAAAAGTACTGCATTATTTCTTCCTCCCAAAGCACTGTGTGCAATAGTTTTGAAAACAGAAAGTCAGAACCGCAAAGTAAAAAGTAAGGAGATTATGGAGTTAGGTTCCTTACTACCTCAGTTTCACAGTGAATTGTACTCCGGTCTTCAGGACTAATGGCCTCTGTGGATGAGTTGGCATACATGGCTGTCTTTCCACCACAAATGAGCTGCAATTACCAAGTAAAGACAAATTATCACTTTTATCTGTTTGATGCAGGAAATATATAATTTTTCTAACAGGAAAAACTATGAAAAGGCAAAAACTAAAACGGCTCCTCCAGTTTGGGTCACTTTGCTTCTACAAGTTCAAAATGCAAGAAAAACAAAAACCTTATCCAAGCAAGCAAAGCAGAAGGAGAATTATGAAGGAAGAAATTTTTCAAAGATAAAATTCTTGTCATCTAGTCACTCTAAGTTTTCTTAAAAGATTACAAATCCAATTGGAACTCAGTCATTGAAATGTGTTAGTCTAATTTCCAACAGGTGAAATGCTCATATATTGACATCAGTCATAGCACAGTAAGAAAACATTTTAACTATATCAGGTTAGCCCAAGAAAAACGATGGCTGACATAAACTGCTCTTTTTTCTTGGGTTGAACTAATACTCTCAATTACCAAGTGCTCTTAAATTATAATAAATTTTGTTACTAATTAGAATAATAACTGCAAAAAATATAGGCAAATATTGCCACCCAGGTGAGTAGTTACCTCTGAATTAGCTGCTTGAAAAGACTCAAAGTTCGGTCACATAAAATATCTTTGTTTTTCGGGATAGGATCCAAATCATAGGTGTATTTCTGTTCCAACTCCTCAAGTTTTTTAAGTTGCTGGCGAGCTTGCTGAAGACTTTCAGCAATGATGGTGAACCTGACAGGAGACATACCATGGATTTCAGAATGACAGTTTTCATAGCAAAATGATAAAGACCAAATATATTTCTTTTTTAAAAAATTTAATTAATTTATTTTTAGTTTTCAACATTCACTTCCATAAGCTTTTGAGTTTCAATTTTTCTTCTCCTTCCTCCTTGCCTCCCTCTCCAAGACAGCATGCAATCTGATATAGGCTTTACATATACATTCCTATTAAATGTATTTTCACATTAGTCATGTTGTAAAGAAGAATTAGAACCAAGAGGAGGAACCACAAGAAAGAAGAAACAAAACAAAACAGAAGGAAAAAAAGAGCAAATATTATGCTTTGATCTGCATTCAAACTCCATAGTTCTTTCTTTGGATGTGGATAGCATTTTGCATCATAAGACCTTTGGAGATGTCTTAGATCCTTGCGTTGCTGAGAAGAGCTAAGTCTGTCAACGTTAGTCATCGCACAATGTGGCTGTTACTGTGTACAATGTTCTCCTGGTTCTGCTCACTTCACTCAGCATTGGACCATAAAAGTCTTTCCAGGTTTTTCTGAAGTCTGCTTGCTCATCATTTCTTACAACACAATAGTATTCCATTACATTCATGTACCATAACTTGTTTAACCATTCCTTGGTTGATGGGCATCCCCCCAATTTCCAGTTCTTTGCTACCACAAAAAGAACTACTATAAATATTTTTGTATATGTGGGTCCTTTTCCCACCAAATATAAATGTCTATAAATCAATGACACCAACAATGTAATATTGAGCATATCCACTATTCTAGGCATTATAGGGAATTAAGAAAATTGTACAACATGATCCCTTCCCTCAGCACTGAACCATGATACAGGAGATCTTGGGTCTAGCTCCTCTCAGCCCCTCCAGCACTTACCAGCTGTAAGAAGCAATGGAGAGTGCTTGGTTTGGAGTCAAGGAATCTGAATTAAAACCCAGCTCTTTTATTTACAGCCAGTCACTTTATCTGCTTCAGTTTCCTCAAGGTTGGAACTAGATGGCTTCTGAAGTCCCTTCTATATCTAACTCTATGACTCTATGATCCTAAGTCACTTCAATTCTCTGGGCCTCAGTTTCCTCATCCATAAATCGAGAGGGATATACTCTAAATGACTCAAAGATCCCTTCCAGTTCCAAATATTACAACCCTTGAATGACCTTGGGTAAATCACTTAACTTTTCTGAGCATCAGTTGCCTTATTAACAGCAAGCATTCACAGAATGCTTGAAGGTTTACAAAGTACTTTACAAATGTTAGCTCATTTGTTCCTCACAATAATGCAGTGAGGTAGGTGCTACAATTATCCTTTTTTATAGATGAGGAAACTGAGGCAGATAGATGTTAAGCAAATTACCCAGGGCTGCAGAGTTAGTAAGTGTCTGAGGCAGAATTCAAACTCAGATCTTCATGGCTCTAAGTCTTATCTTCTTGCCATTTTACTACTTAGATGCCTTACTGATTAAATGATAGAAAGATAGAGCATTTATTAAGCGTTTATTATATGCCAGGCACTGTGAAAATGAAAATGACAATAAGAATGAGAACAGGGACTAGATGAGAAAATTCTCGGAGGTCCCTTCTGGCTCCAAGATCCGTAGTGTCAGGGATGATATCATTTTCCTCTAGATTCTTTGAAATTATCCCAAACTTAAAATCCAGTTGGAAAGATGAGTGTTGGATACTAACACTTGGTGATTAAGGGCAATTAATAGTTCCTGAGAAGTGGGCATTAAGAAAGAGTTGATATAATTATGGTCCAATAGATAAAGTTAGGGTCAGCATGGAGTAGATCAGGTACAATTCTAAGAAGGTAGCAACGGCATACAGAGACAAAATGGCAGCTAGCTTCCCACAATGCCACCATCTATGAAAGTTTTCTTTTGACAGTGGCACAATGACCCAATCTTCTCCCCACTTTGCTGAGTATGCATGGCTATGAGCCTGGACACTGAGAATAACAAATGCCAAGTGATTAGTAGCAATATTCTCTAAAGCAGTAGCTAACAATTGCTAATTTTTTTCACAAAGAACTTGAGTGCAGAAAGAGCCCACTGCAGGCTGGAATTGCTGGGGAAGGTAGGCATAAAGGACGTGACAACAGTTAGCATGTATACAACATTTTAAGGTTTGCAAAGTGCTTTGTATAAGTCATTTGATCCTCATAACACCATTGTGAGGTAGATGCTATTATTATCCCCATTTTATGATGACGAAACTGAGGCTGATGGAGGTTAAATGATTTGCCTAAGATCACAACTAATAAGAATCTGAGGCAGAATTTGAACTGAGATTTTTCTAGGTCCAAGGAAAGATTCTATCCACTGTACTTCTTGGAAACCTTGGAAGGAAGGTTAAAATTAGGAGAGATGAAAAGGAGGAAGGAAAATATTTATCATTGTTTGGTCATTTATGTCTGACTCTTTGGGACTCCTAGAGTCAGGAGGACCTGAGGTCAAATCTGACCTCAGACATTTGGTACTTACTAGCCGTGTGACTGTGGGCAGGTCACCTGACTCCAATTGCCTAACCAAGAAGCCAGAAAAAAAGGAAAGAAAGAAAGAAAAAACGAAGATAGTGCGGATAGCAGCCTGACTGGAATATATTCTAGGAAGCAATGGGAAAATAATAGAAGAGGTAGAGATAACGGTGCATACTTGCAAAAGATCTTGAAAGCTAAGCAGAAGAATTTAGCATTGACACAGTAGAAAATAGGGAGTGATTGCAGGTTTTTGAGTAGATATAACGATAATGGCATGGAACTGGATCTGTAATCTCAGTGATATAGAGCACTCCCAAAAAGGATATTTTCAATAATAATAATGATAATAAGAATAATAATGCTTCCTAAAGTCCAGCCTATCATCTATGTTGTAAGGAAAAACACGGAAAAACCTGGGAAGCATTATGTGAACTGATGAAAACTGAACTGAACAGAGCAAGGAGATCATTGTACACAGTAACAACAATGTTATACGATGCTCAAAACTGGGAATGACTTAGTTCTTCTCAGCAATACAATGATCTGAGACAATTCCAAAGGAGTCATGATAAAAAATTCTATCCACCTCCAGAGAATGGACTGATGGAGTCTGAATGCAGATTGAAGCATACTTTTAAAAAAATTTTATTTTTCTTGGAGTTTTTTTGGTCTGTTTTCTTTTGTAACATGGCTAATATGGAAATATGTTTTACATGACTGAATTTGTATAATCTGCATCCAAGTGTTTGCCTTCTCAAGAAGAGGGGAAGAAAGGGAATGTGGAATGCAAAAAAAAAATTTTTTTCAGCCAAAGACAAGGTTTATTAAAGATCCTCCATATTGGCCAGACTCTTAAGGAATCTAAGCACCTGTGAGCTATTGGCTAGATTGTAAAAATCTAAGCAGGGGCTAGATTATAAGAATCCAAGTCTTAAAAATTATTTTTAAAAAATGAATGTTAAAATTATCTTTACATGTAATTGAGAAACAAAAAAACATTGTTTTAAAAAATTTAAGAATATGCTGGTCTGAGTGATGTATAGCGGTAACATTGTGTCCCAACGCCACAATAGTAGCTGTGACTGTGTGGCAGGAACCCTGAAATGCTGACTAATTGGGCTTTGGCAATGCCACAAGGGCAGTGTGATGATGAAACTGTTCCTATGAGTACAAGAAATAGAGGGGGTGGCATACAAGATGATCCTACTCAAAACTGTCATGATGATTAGGCTGACAGAAAAGACAGCCTAGTGGGCAGGACTCCTTTGTGTTCTGTATCACAAGATTGCAAAATAAACAGGAACAAATTAGAAATACCAATACCCTACCTGCTGGAAATGCTTCAGTACACATGACATTGAGCACTAAAGCAGGCAGAGCCCAGCTTGTCCAGAAAACATGATTGTTTCATTGGGAGCTATTACTATTTCATTAAAAACAAGAACAAAACAAAACAAAACTTGAAATAGATTTCACCACTTTTATCCAAGGGCTTCATGTCCTTATACTACTTTTACTTCTAGAATTTTGCCAGGATTAGACGTTAAATTCACTGGCCTATTGCTTACAGATTCCATTCTCTTCCCTTTTTTTGAAAATCAGGATAACATTTTGACGCTAAACCTTAAGGAAAAGATAAGATCTCAAAGTTTTAGAACAATGTGTTTGTTTTAATACAGAAATGTGAGTGATTGACTTTCAGAGGCCAGAACAAAGGAAAATATATTTTCCTAGTGTGTCCTCTCATTGCTGTTTTGACACAATTTCTTAGTGTGTCCTGGCAAATGCAGCAGCCCCTAGACTTATAATGCGAGAAAAATGCAAGGGTGATAAATATGGAAACTTCCAATGAAAATTCACTAAGAGTTGACAATGCTTTTATTATTAAATCATTATACAATGATTTTAAATGTGAAAGTTTTCAGGACATGAAGAATCATATGGAGGAAATGCCCTAAATTGAAAGTTCAACAAAGTCCATCAAGATAATTCAAATGTTGAATGAGAACTCTGCATGCTTATTATACTTGTTGCATAAGTGGTCCACTTTTCCAAGAGAAGTTAGTTCTAGATCTTACCAGTTCTGTAACTGATCCAAGCAAGCATTGGGAGGCCCTCCAATACATGCACACTGCTGTCTTTGCTTCCATTCCACCAATTCTTCATTAAGCAAAACATTCTGGGTAAGTTCTGTCACATTCAAGAGATCTATTATTTTCTGCACAACTTCCTAATGAGCAAGAGACATAGAAAGAAAGTAGAATCAGTTAATTTTCATTTGTCATAGTGGCTTTTATTAATAACCTATACTTATGGGAATGTGATGTAATCCTATCTGGTTGTAAGAAATGAGCAACAAAAAAGATGATTTCAAAGAGACATGAGAAGGTTCGTGTGAATTGATGCAGAGTGAAGTGAGCAGAACTAGAAGGATGATCCATGCTATAACATCAACAATTTCGAGAGACTTAAGAGCTCTGATCATCTAAGTGATCATCTAAGAGAATTGATAAAAGAGAACACTGTCCAACTCATGACAGAGATATATGCAGAATAATACATTTTTGTACGTGACTAGTGTGGAAATTTCTTCCTCCTTCCTTCTTCCTTCCTTCCTTCCTTCCTTCCTTCCTTCCTTCCTTCCTTCCTTCCTTCCTTCCTTCCTCCTTCCTTCCTTCCTCCTTCCTTCCTCCTCTTCCTTCCTTCCTTCCTTCCTTCTTCCTTCCTTCCTTCCTTCCTTCCTTCCTTCCTTCCTTTCCTTCCTTCCTTCCCCTCCTTCCTCCTTCCTTCCTTCCTTCCTTCTTCTCCTTCCTTCCTTCCTTCTTCCTTCCTTCCTTCCTTCCTTCCTTCCTTCCTTCCTTCCTTCCTTCCTTCCTTCTTCCTTCCTTCCTCCTTCCTTCCTTCCTTCCCTTCCTTCCTTCCTTCTTCTTTTTCTTTCTTTCCCTCCTTCTCTCTTCCTTCCTTCTTTCTCTACTTTGTCTGTCTCTGTCTCCCACTCTTTCTTCTTCCTTCCCTCATAAACTCTTTCCCTGACTCCCTCTTTTCCTTTCTTCCTCCCTCCCTCCAACTCTTCTTCCTGCCTTTCTTCTTTCCTTTTCAGTTCATGGGAGAGGTGAGAGGGAGAAAAAAATTCTTAATAATTAAAAAAACCAAAATAATAAAAAAAATTTTAAGTGCTATTTATACATTCTAATTTTCTAAGCTAGTGAGTCATTCCTCTAGCCTCAAAAAGATATCTACACTAGCTGACTACAAAAATAATTTTTCCTTAATTTAAACTCAAAACATCTATTATTCACATTCAGTGATTTTAAAACAAAAGGTTAAAGACAGGAAAAATTACCTTTCTCTTCTGATCCAGCATTAAGTACATCTTTTGGATTAACATCTTTTCCTGCTTATTTTCATTTAGTGCTACACCAGCATATTCATGCTCTACAGATTAAAATCACACAGATAATTATAAGCATGTGACAAAATTTTTCATTGAATTAGTAAGAGTATGATAAAAGTAAGTAAGAAATCTAAATTGCTCTCTAATCCATGGCTTCCAAAAATTAGTCTTCCTTTTAAAAGTTGAGCAGGAAAATCTTCAAAGTATAAAAATGAGACTTTTACTTCCATGGCCAAATATACTTATTTTCAGAGTAATTCCTATGATACCCTGTAATGAAAGTGTTCCTTTCTGACAGACTACATAAATCAGGAGTAAGTTAACATTTTAGGTGATACGTTGGGTATCACTCTGACAAACAACAAACAGAACAATTACTAAATTCAAAGAGAACAATTGTCAAGATCAAGTCTAATGGTGTGTCAACATTGAAGGTCTGGGATAAGGAAGGGGGATAAGAATTATTCTGGCTGACTCAAGAAGGCAGGACCAGAAACAGTGGGTGAAAATGGGAAAGCTGCACATAGAAGCTTGAAAGAGAGTAAAATGCCCTCAAAATTAGGGCTATCCAAGAATGCAATGGATTGCCTTGGGAGGAAATGAGTCACCTCTCATTAAAGGTTTTTACACAAATTCTTGCATGACCACTTGTCAGAGATGCAGCAGCAAAGATTCTTGTTCATGGGACTGAGGTTTCTCCAAACTCTGAAATTCTGAGATTCTATGATTTAGTGAATCTAACCAATTACTGTTTGTAGACTATTGTTTTACCCCAAATCAAGCATGCTGACTTTATCTTCCCACGCATAATTAGTTTACAGGGGTGAAGAAATATCTGACATGTCATTCCACAAAATCCACACATTTGAGTTGTTGTCATTTGCTATCATTTTTTTTTTAAAGCAACAGAGGGAAGGACCAAAAACACAATGAAAAATGTTTATTAAATTCTGCACAGGGAGTAGAATTATATTTGTAAAGTGCTTTAGTATCCAGGAAGAATGAATACAGTGGAAATATGAATTCTAAATAATAAAATTATGAATACATTGAAAAAAGCACTCATCTCTAAGCTTGATTGTGTGTGACTAGAACAACTTCTAACTGAACAAATGAGCAAATCACTATGAATTAATAACTCTTACCTCTGTTACTAAGGGTTTTGCATTTAAAGTCATGTTCATCTTGTAAATCTTCTAGCACCTTTATCTCTTGTTCTATGTCCTACAAATTAGGATATAGTATTTATTTAATCTGGTACTGGAAACACAGTTAACAGTATCATTCCTCTGGTATCCAATGAGGCAGTCAGAAAACATGTCACCCAATTGCTCTTGCTACGGTAATATGCTTTTCTAATGAAAAATTTTACATGCATTGAACACACAAAATAATATGAAAAGATAGTAAATACCTCTTAACCTATTAATATACTTATATTAATATACTTATATTAATATTATTTTTAAGGAAAAAAAGCCAAGAAAATAATTTCATTCCACAAATAAAGACAGCAGATTGGGCCTCTAGCATTATTCTTTGGTTCCATGGACTTCAATTCTTCTCAATCTATTTCCAGAAACTGGTTAGAAATTGCTCGTGTAATGAGGTTTGATTCCATGGGATAAGCAGGAAAGCCAAACATACAAATAATTTTTTCATAGCTTGCAAGATATAACCTATGCATCTCACTTCTAGTTATATTTTAGAGGATCCTGGTATTACAGATTTAGAGCTAGAAAGAACCTTAGAGTTCCCAAGAGAGGTTAAGTGATTTGCCCAGTGCCACACAGTAAGTGAGTCATATTTGACTCCATGTCCCTTACTCCAAATCTGGGGCTCTTTCTACAACACTACACTGCACAAATGGATATCGTTGCTTCAAGGGCAGACGGGCCATGCTTCCTCAGCTGACATATTATTCCTTGGATGTCTAGGGACTAAAGTCACCCACCAAAATCTGGAAGATGATATGAGTGATACTCTAAAACAAGAAAGAAAAGTTTTTACTATGTGTGCCTGAGCCTATGAAGAGAGTGTGATCCTGATCTCTGCCAGATTTCCTTACTCTCATCTTGTCCATGTAGCTACAGGTAATGGATAACTGACAGCTAAATCACTTGGGTCATTCAAGGATCTATGTGGTAAATTTTTACTTCAAAAAGTCTGAAAAAAGGGGGAAAATTTTGACTTTTTATTGGGCAATCATAAATAAATTACTTATAAAGGCAAATAAGTGATTTTGGCGGTGGCTTTAAGCACATTTACCGAGGGTGAGGAGATAACAGGAAAATCTATTTTACCTCCAATGAGAATTCACCTTTATCTAGTGCAATAAGGTTTATAAAGAGAGGGCTAGGCCTGAAGTCAGGAAGACCTGAGTTGAAATCCAACCTCAGACGCTTACTAGCTGTGTGATATTGGGCAAAGTCACTTAACCTCTGTTTGCCTTAATCTACTGGAGAAGAAAGTGGCAAACCACTCCAGTATCTTTGCCAAGAGAACCCCAAATGGGGTCATGAAGAGTTGGACAAGACTTAGCAACAACAAAAAGGTTTATAAAGTGCCCTATGAGCTGAGTAGGGCAAATACTCTTATTCCATCTGGTTCAAAGAGTTAAAGAGATCACAGATTTATTAAGGGTTCTTTGTTCATCTAAACCAAAACCACTATCCAAAGTCTCAATCCAAAGCTCCTGAGTTTGAATTAAAAACAATTAAAGCCTTTCTTCCTCCTATGTAGTAAATGGCATGGTGAAAAGAGAACTATCTTCTGCATAAGGGAGACCCAGGTTCTAATTGTACCTCTGGAACATATTGGACCTGTTCTACTCTGCCCAATTCCAGGCAGGTCATTTAGGTAACTCTATGAGACTGTAAATTTCAGAGTGGTTGCCAAAATGCTTTTGTAGAGGGTGTTCCATCAATCAATGAAGTCATAGCTTTGAACCCATCCTCTTCTCTCTCATAAAATAACAATAAGAATAAGAATTTTAAAAAAAGTAAGACAATTGTCAATAGAGAGTAGATACATATTCACTCTATACTCACCATAACTCTCTCCTTCACATTTTTCACTTTCAGATCAATCTCCTTATGTTTGCCTGGAACCACAGCATTCTGAATATTTCCTGTATGAGCCTGTCACAAAAAAGGCACAGTCAACAGAATTTTTCTGGATGGTTGCTGCTATTTACATCCCACAATTAGGTCAGAGACATGTTACAAATCACATATACACTCTAAACATATGCAAACCTTCCCATAAGTATGATGTCAACAAGAAAGAGCCTTTAGCATATCTTTTATAGGAATCAGGATGAAAGGCAAATTGTGACTCTAGACTGAGCTTCATCCTAAACCAGAGAAAAAGCAAAACATGTGCAAATACAACCATGAATTTTTACTTTATTAAGCTCTGCATACTGGAATGTATTCATGTATACATAGGGCTTTCATTGACTGATTTCATCACAAATTCATTAATAAATACATTCATTAATAAATTACATTCATTAATAAAAACAAATTCAGAGATAGCTGAGACTATCCTGCTGACTTCTGAGAGTATGAGACCTAGTAATGATAGTATCCTTTTGTACATATTATGCCATATGCATTGATGTTGCCTTTTTTTTTTCAGCCTGTGAGCACCTAGATAGCAAGGATGCTTTCCACAAGCTTATGCCATCTGAGTGTAGATTGAAGAGACTGAAGTTATTTAGCTTGGAGAAGAAAAAAAAACTTAAGTGGGAATACAATAGCCATCTTCAATTATTTGAAGGAATGTCTCATGGAAGATAAATTAGATGTATTCTACTTGATTCCAGAAAGCATATCTATGAGTGACAAAGGCAGACTCTGACTTGATATAAGAAAAATCTTACTAAGTTAGAGCTGTCTAAAAGCAGAATGTGCTGCTTAGGGAAGAAAGTGGGATCACCCTTACTAGAAGTCTCTAAGCTGATATTGGATGACTACTTGGCAAGCATGTTGTAGAACAGATTATTGTTCAAATTCTGATGTCCTTGGAGGTCCTTCCCAACTCCGAGATTCCATAGGTTCATGCCCAATTACCTATTTGGTATAGTGCACTAAACTGTACAAGTAGAATTCACCAAATGCTTTTGATAATTATTTTTCATTTCACTGATCAGAGTTTTATCAAAAGTCTATCAAAGTTTTTTCTTTAAAATGCTGTTGATATCACATAAATTGTTCTCCTGTTTCTGCTCACTCCACTCTATATCAATTCATATAGTCTTCCCATGTTTCTCTTAAATCACCCCTTTCATCATTTCTTATAGGTCAATAATATTCAATTCCATCCATATACCATAACTTGTTTAGCTGTACCCTATTTGGTGAGCATGTCTCCTCAGTTTATAGTTATTGCTACAAGAAAAAAGAGCTGCTACAAATAATTTTGTACATATGGATCCTTTTCCTCATTCTTTAATCTCTTTGGAGTATAGACCTAGTAGTGGACAAAAACATGGGAAAATATGAGAACTAAAGGAACAGAACACAGTAGAGAACATTTGGGTAAAGATCAGTGAAGGCAGTAGAAGCAACTTTGTCATCAGAGCATACAGAAAGAAACAGGAAAGAGGTAATAAATGAGAAATTTGAGAAATGTTTTATAAGTATGGCATGAAGGAATTACATAGTGATGGAGGTTCAATTAACAGAACATTTGTTGGAGCTCTCTCTAGAAGCAGCATAGCAGCTATTCATTTCTTAGGCCAGTCTAATTTTATCCTGCAAAAAGAGGAAAAAATACCATGGGAACCTCCTATTCTGGTTTTAATTCTTACCAATAAAGAGGAAGTAGCTGCTGAGGTGGAAATGTTGAATAGAAGAAGAAAGACTGGAAGAGTCTGACATGCACTTTTGATATTTGGCGTGTGGAATTCAATGGGTTCAAAGAAAGCATAGGAAGCATTCAATGGTCTAAAATTTTACAAAGAAGGTTGGCCTAGGAGGGATGAATAACTCTTAATAACAATATTCTTTAATGTTTTTTTAGGCAATTGGGGTTAAGTGACTTGCCCAGGGTCACACAGCTAGTGTTGTGTTTGGTCTGAGGCTGGATTTGAACTTGGGTCCTCCTGACTTCAGGGCTGGTGCTCTATCCACTGTGCCATCTAGCTGCCCCTTAAAAACAATATTCTTAAAGTATGAATATGAATAATTCAAATGAGGAGAAAAAAAGAGAATGAGCTAAAGAGACTTAGGTGGCTGCACAGGGAACTCACCAGTCAATTGGAATTTTAAAAGGGCATGTACAGAAGATGTAGCAAGGGCAGGTGAGAGAGAATAAATACCAAAGTGTGGCAAAGCCCTGTAGGAACATTGTGAGGGACACAAAGACACCGAATAAGTTGAGGCTAGTGAAGAAAGCTAAGAATGACAAAAAGTTATATTGAGAAAGCTATATTGAGAAAGAGGAGGTGCAAAGAAAGGCTAAGGCAATAATAATTAATGATGCAGAGAAAGTAGAGGTGCTCAGTTTTTATTTTGCATCTGACTTCCATGACAGGAAAATGATTTTTGAAAAGGAAAGGATCGAACAAAATTGGCTAATTAGGAACAGAAATCCAAGACAAGTAAGGAGAAAATAAGAACCCAACTCAGTGTAGTTGGTGAATTCAAGTCCCAAGGGCCTAAATGAACTCCATCTTAGGGCACTGAAAGACCTAATAGATGTGACTGCTTAGCCACTGTCAATTATCTCTGAAAGACCGTGGAGAAAGGGAAAGGCATTGCAAGATTAGAGAAGGATAAGCATCGTTCCTGATCTTCGAAGAAATAGAATGGAGTCTTCATATTACAGGCCAAACAGCTCAACTCCAATTTTTGGCTAAATTCTAGAAATGAACATCAATGGAAAAAAAAAGGAGCGTCCCAGGAACCAGCATGGCTTCATCAAGAACAATTAATTCCAGAATAAGTGTATTTACTCATTAGACAAGTTATTAGGCACTTGGACCAAAGAAATGTTGTAGATGTAGTATACCTACAATTTTTACACTACAAATTCATTCACTACAAATTTTTTTAAGGCAGTTCTTCACACATGTTCTAGTAGGACAAAAAGTACCTGTTCAAATAGCTGGGCAGCTTCCAGGATTTTCCTTTCTTCCTTCAGACAATTAGAGATGATCATAGACATCTGTATTGGATCTTCCTGAAAATTATCCTAGATTCATGGTATGAAAAGCAAAATTGAAAATTCAAATCAATTGTTACTGAAATTGGAAAAACATTTCCTATTCCTGAAGTGCACCTGTACTCATTTATCATCATTTATATTACCTAGAATTTAGTAATTTCTATTAGTTCTCTTTCATTTATTATATCAGAACATTTCTTTATCTTTCCTTATTAGAACAAATAACTTATATTTCACTTGACTAAAAATACTTAAAATATTTTCATACATCATTTACCATTTGGGGACAGGACAAAATGATGTCTATACCTCACATACCTAAAAAGTCTATGTTTCTGACACCCAGTTTTCCTAATCCATTTGTGTAAATGTGTACAGTATTTCATAAGATTATCATTGGCTTAGAACTTAAAGAGGTCTTAGAGATCACCTAATCCAACCTCTAAGTTTTCTAAATAAGAAAACTAAGGCCATAATAGATGAAGTGACTAGCTTAAAGGCACATGGGTTTGATCTATGATTTGAACCCAAAAGTCCCTTGACTCCAAATTCAGCATGATTTTCATTGCTCTATACTGTGTTCTCTAAGAAGTATTGATATAAAAGACATGTTTTATATTATGTGTGAAGCTAAAGTTTTTATGAAATGAATTGTTTCACTTTACTTATGTTGTAAATTTAAAAATTCTGTACAATTAGTTTATTTTAAATGGGAGCTGTAGGTAAGTTAGTATTACCTAATCTTCATGAATTTCCAGGTGACAACATGGCAACATTTCCACCAAAGACTAAAACATACCTGAAGATTACGCTTGCTTTTCCTTATATTGTGTTGTAGCAAAAAATTGTTCTGCAGAGAAAAGCGGCTATAATGTTCATCCAACTGAGAGAGAAGTTCATGAAAACACACTGTGGAAAAGGAGACATCCATGGCAGCATGTTCCCTTGGAGATTCAAAACAGACAATTATTCATTCCAGATAATATGAAAAATGGCATGTATGAAAGTCTGCTTGCATGATACATTGGAAAATATTCAGAGTCAGAGGACCTGGACTCAAATTCCAACTCTGCCACTTATTCCCTAGGTCTTGATCCAGTCACTTAACCTCTTTTAAACTCAGTTTCTTCATCTGTAAAATGAGAGGGTTGGACTTAATCTAAATTTATGATCCCACATGGAAAAGGTTGAGGGACTAAATCTGTGATTTCACTGATACGGGAACTCCTGAATGAGAGGATTCCTGCCAATAATTCAGGTTGGCACTTTCTCTGCAACTTATAGTCAGAGAAAGTTGCTCAGAGCAATGAGAAATTAACTGATTTGCCCAAGGTTACACAGTCAGAATATGTCAGAGAGGACTTAAACTCAGGTCTTCCTGTATTGGAGGCCAGCTGTCATGATTATTTTTCTAAATGGAATATAACTTTTGATTTCACCACCTTTTCCATATTTCACAAGATAGAAGAAAAGTTTGTATCAAGACACTCTAAAAGCTAATTCAACCAGAGATACTTCAGAAGATTTGTTTAAACTGATATAGAACCAAGTGAGCAGAACCAAGAGAATGATATATCCAGTAACCACAATAATGCAAAGGAAAACAACTCTAAAAAGACAAGAGAATTCATATCAATGCAATAATGAAGCCTGACCCAATAAGAATGATGATGGAATATAATTCCTCCCTTTCAATATAAAGGAGGCAGACTACACATACAGAAAACAGCACAGTGAGGCATATATTATCAGAAATGATTGATGTGTCTGTTTTGCTTAACTGTACTTTATTAAAATGGAGAGTTCTGGAGGTGGGCAATTAGGAAATGACAGCAATTTAAAAAAAAAAAAACGGCAACCCACTACTTTCTTAAACAAAAGAAAGCTAATTGTAAACACCTTTTTATTCCAATATAGCTTTGATTTTCTTTTAATTGTCCAATTCTTTAACTTGCATTTTGACTTGAAGATATATTCCTTCATTGTTTTCAGTATTAATTTAATGGATTTGAGGGAACACAGAAAAATAACAAAATTTGGGAAGTTGTAAAAAAGAGTTTAATATCTAAAACATTTAAGCCTTTTTTGTACCCAGGTGCCACTTGCTATGATGACAAATATTCTTCCTTCACAGATCACAGAATTATACAATTTAGAATTAAATGGGATAGTCATTTCATTCACCCCATATCCAACAGGTATCCCTATTATAAACTACTTGGCAAGTAGTCATTCAGCCTTTTCCTAAAGACTCCAATGAGGAGGAGCCACCCTCTCTTAAGGCAACCCCTTACTTCTGAATAGCTATAAATGTTAGGAAGTTTTCCCTCACATCAAGCCAAAATTTGCTTCTTGAAGCTTTCACCAGTTGATCTTGGTTCTGCTACTGGAACCAAATAGTACAGTGCCTCTTCCATGTGCCAATCCTTCAACATAGCTAGAATGTCTCCCTAAGGCTCTTCTCTAGGCTAAACATCTTAAGTTCCTTCAAGTAATCATCATATGACATAGACTCAAGGCCCTTCACCATTCTTATTGCCTTCCTCTGGATGCTCTCCAATTAATCATTATTATTCCTAGTACCTATAAGTGAACACACTACTCCAGATGTGGTCTGACTATGGAAAAGTACAGGGAGATTCTTATCTATTTGTGCTTTTCTTGATGAAGCCTAAGATCACTAAGCCCAAAAGTAGCTTCTTGGCTGCCATGTCACACTGTTGACCAATGTAGAGTTCATAGTCCAATAAAGCCCTCAAATCCTTTTTTCAGATAAACTGCTATCTTGCCATGTCTCCACCATCTTGTATTTGTGAAGCTGATTTCTCAAACCCAAGTACATGACTTCATATTTATTCCTACTGAATTTTATCTTATTAGATTTAGCCTAATTCTCAAGCCTGCCATGATCTTTTAGGGATGTTAACTCTGTCAGCCATTGTGTTACTTATCCCTCCCTGTTTTGTGTCACCTGAAAATTTGATGGATATGCCATCTATGCCTTTATCCAAGTTGGTTGGACTTAGTATACAGCATTATAAAATGTAAGGTATTGGTAGTGGTAGAATTTGAATTTCTACCTCAATGTCTTTGTTACTGATTTTCTCTCTGTGTGAGTGTCCTTCTATGCCTAGCCATATCTATGCAATTCCTGCCCATCCTTCAAGGTACAATATCTGGGGCCATTTCCTTGATTGTTCAACTGGAAGTGATCTCTTCCCCACTATGAATGACCTTTGTACCTCTCCTATTACATTTTTCATATCCTGTCTTCTATGATGATTATTTGTATACCTGCCTTATCTCTTTGTAAGAGCTTCAGGACCTGGGATTGAACCAATTTTCCACTGTATCACAGGTGCTCAACCAATATCCCTTGAAGGAACGAATGAATTGGCTCATGAATGATCCATTTAAGAGATACAGTAAAGAACACTACATTCAAAGTTAGGGTTTTCTTCCCAGATCCATTTAACCCTGAACAAATCATTTCACCTCCGAACCTTGGTTTCCTCATCTGTAATGTTACACTATTTTCCTCAGAGGATTGTTATGAGGGAAGAGTTTTGTATGCCTTAAGGCACTTTTATGAACATGTTAGTATTTGCTTTGTCAACATAATTTTAACTAAATCAATAAATCATTGTCATACCCACAACTTGCAGACAAAATTTCTTTCTATGTCCAAGGGGCTTCCTTACCAGTCTTGCTTTTCCAACCAAGGTGCCAGATACTGTCTAATTTCCATAGGAAAACTATCATCATAAAGTTGATGCACTTGCTCTAGGAATTTGGAGTCAAGTCCTTGTAGGTCACTCCACTGAGACATCCTATAGTGTAAAAGAAATGTACAATGAATTAAAGATCATAGTGTTCTACAGACTGAGAAAGAAAGCTTGGTATTAAGAAAAATAGCTCAAGGTAAACACGAAGAATTTAGGAAAACGTGGGAAGACTGCTGTGAACTGATACAGATTAGAAAAAAAGCAAAGTCCGAAGAACAATATACACAATGACAATATTGCAAATGAAACCAACCTTAAAAGACAAGAAAAATCAGATCAAATACAGTGATCAATATTGGTTCCAGATGACTAACACCGAAACCCTCTACTTTCCTCTCAGTAGAAGTTATAGACTATGAGTGTCGAATATTATAGTCATATAACATTCTGTCAGTCACTATATCAGATAGTTTTGTTATGGGGTCTCAAGGGAGTGAAATGGTAGATGGATTACCGGGAAGCGACTAGGATATAAGAATAAAATGCATTAACAATACATTTCAAAAACTAAGAGCTCAACAGCAGAAATTTTAGCATCTATAGAATCATTATTTGTCAAAACACTGCAGCCTGATCTCATACAACCTATTTTTTGGGGGGTGAGGTAACTGGGGTTAAGTGACTTGCCCAGGGTCACACAGTTAGTGAGTATCATGTGTCTGATGCCAGATTTGAACTCAGGTCCTCCTGACTCCACTGCCAGTGCTCTATCCACTTCGCCACCTAGCTGCCCTTCATACAACCTATTTTGCTAAAGGCAAGAGAAAGTGTTTGCCTTTAAAATTATTTTCCTTTCCCAATTATAGGAAAAGGAAAGTAAAGGTGTTTTTTTTTCATCTACCACTAAATTAGCTGTCATTTATGTCCTTGGGGGCTTTTAGCACATTATAGCTGCAGAGCCTAACAAAGTGAGCAGTTGCATTTGTGCTTACTCTTAGGTTTTCAGTGCTAGATCTTCTAAAATTTGGTTCTTAATCCATTTGGTTTTTCCCCTGTGGATGGTTAGGCTGAAATCTTCTAAATCAGCATGGATCTTTTAGTAGGATCTACAACATTACAGGGCTTGATACAATCAGTCCATTGTCATCCACAAACAGAATCATCTGGAGAATCTCACTCTCTATAAAGAATCCTTCTTTGCCCGTGTGTATCAGAACTGTTGAACAAAGTTATCTCTTTTGCTACATCTTTCAAGGAATCTTGTATGATTCTGAAGTCTTATGGAAGACATTTATTGGAGGAAAGCCTTTAAAGTTGCAATTTCTCCAAAATTAAATTTTTTTTATAGTTAACAATACACGCAGTAGAAATGCTGTATTGGCTATACCTTTTAGTCAACTGTGTGGCTGCTCTAAAATATCATTTTTAGAAGTCTGATTATTCAATTATTATGCCCTTGAGGATGATTTCAATGCACATGTACCCTATCTTAGACATAAGAAGGTACGAATATGTATTAGTAATTATTAATGTTCTCTTGGTTGCCTTTTGGAAGTGTAATAACAAAGGCAGAGATTTTTTTCCTAAGCCTTTGTTATCCTCCCTACTTACTTTCAGTTTCCTTGAGAATCAATCCCTCACTGCCTTTATCTCCAGTATGTTCTTTCTATGTTTACTAGGTCAAGTAGAGCTACTCTTCCCATCCTAAATTTTTTTTAGGGCCATTTCTCCTTCCCTGGGTAGCACATTGGGAACTATGACTTTACAATCCAAATGGATCCTATGCTGTAACAGTAGAAGGGATTTGCCATGCCGTAACAGTAGAAGGAATTTTCTATAAAAATTTTTATGGAATTTTTCCATTTTCCAGCTATATGTTTTCCAACCTTCCAGCTTAATCTTTTAATTCCTTTGGGATGACTTTGCTTAGTTGGGTCTCTCACCAAACTTTCTTTAAACTTGTTCTTCCCTTCAGGGCTTCTCAATGTTTTATGCAATGATACTGCTCATAATCTTCCACCATACTTTGCTCTAGTAAGCTCTTACAAATAAATGTATGCTTTAAATGACTGGTACCCTTTTCTGCCATATCTCTTCATTTCACAAAATCGGGTGTTGACTGGCAGAGGCACTTTTTCTGCTATGGATTTACACTGATTATATTTTTTAAAGAAATAATAATAGCCTATATAAATGTTGTCTTTTTTTAAATCCATTTCCCATTTTTATGCTAATAGCTTATTTATATAAGGCACATTTGAACTACCTTAATTCCATGTCTCATTTTTATTCTAGCTTGATACTGATTTTGATCTTTGTTCTAACAAGTCTGACTATATAGACGACTGATTCAAAAATGATTACCATATCAGTAATCAGTTATCTTCTGTTAAAATATAACTAATTTCATTTTTTAAAAATTTTATTTGATTCTTGTCATGTTCCTTGCCTGTTCCCATATAGCATTCATTATATATAAGAAGAAGTTCCAATATCGTCTACAGGCTTCTGATCTCTTTGATTTCTTACTCCTAAACTATGTTTTCTACCATATTTTCTCTATCACTCTAGATATATGTATTTAAGTAACTGAATTTTAAAATATATATGGATTTATTTGGAGGGAAAGAATTTCTTTATTTCCTCATCCTCTATAACAGATGATAGATCATAAGCTTTAGTTATTTTCATGCTTATCATGCTATTCATGAACATTGCAAAACAAACAAACAAACAAAAACCCCAACCAAACAGCTAAGAATCTCATGAAATGATGTTTCTGGTTGCCTTCAGATACATGATAAAACCAACTCCATCAACTACATCATTTGTTCTCCAAGAATACTCTGTGGACAAACCTTCCATTGAGACTCAATGTTATCTTCTGGCTTCATTTATAGTAAGAATATCAAAATTGCTACGATTCAGTTGCTCTAGCAGCATGTTCACTTATTGGTTCCTAGAAAAGGATATTATATTGACAGCACCTACAATGAAGTAAATTTCTATAGACAATCTAAAAACTGCATAATTCTTAACCTCTTCTGTCCTCTACTCTGCCATCATCACAGTAGCACTTGATATGGTAAAAATCAGAAATAAAAGGGCTGAAATGAGAGTCAGTAAGCCTAGTTTCTAGTCCCATTTCTGTCCCTGTTTGATTTTAGGAAAATCACTTCATCCCCATGGGTTTTAGATTCTTTAACTCAAATATGAAAATATTCGAGGTTCTTTCCAATGCAAATAACCTATGATTGTAAACATACACACACACAAATACATGAGAAATGACTGAAGGCAAAATAATTTTTCTAGCAAGTTCCAATAGCAGTTGCTCACTTGTGGCATATCAAATGCTATAAATTAACTGAAGTATAATTTGCCACCCAGACACATCTGGGTAAATCTTGAGAGATAACCAACATTCAACTGAATTTTTAAAATGTTTACTGTTTGTAGACCACTATGATAGATGCTTGGGAGATACAAAGTTTAGATAAGAAATGGTTCCTGACTTCATGGGGCTTACAGTCCCAAAGGAGTTTATGATACCAACACAACTGCAAAACAAATATGGTACCCAAGATTTTTTTTTAAAAGCACAAATAAAGTATTATTTACAATCCATGATAAGTAAGATCTTCAATGACTTAGGGACACAGAAAGCAGTGTCCCAAAGCAGGTAGCATCTGAGTTAGGCTTTAAAAGGAGGATTAAAATAAATTGAATGGGGGAAGATATTGTACACAGAGGAAATTCTGTGAGTGGAAAGGTATATGTAGGGACATAATATGAGAAAAGACTGGAAATATAGCAGGGCATCAAATTGTGAAAGGCCTTGAATATCAGGCTAAGGAAAATGAACTTTAGACTTAAATAGTATGGAACAAATAAAGATTTCTGGATAGAAGAATTATGACTCCTTCTATGTAGAGGACAATTAGTCTGGTAGCAGGGTGGATTGAATGTGAATGATGATGAAGAGACAAAATTAAGGGGATTTAGCAACTTAATGTATATATGAAGTGACCAAAAGGGAAGAGTCTAAGATAATACTAAAGTTTCAAACTTAGGAAACTGGTTGAAGGAGATTGCTGATAGAAATAATGGGTCTATTCAGTTCCTTTCAACTACAAAATGAAAGAAAAATCTTAGATGAGACGATCTGTAAGGTCCCTTCCATCTCTAAAATTCTATGACTCTGCTTAAAGTGGGACAACCAGGTCGTACATTATATACTGCATCCCCAGATAGTTTAAAATTTAGGGGTTCTTAACCCCGAGTCCATGAATTTGTGTGTGTTTTTTAAAAAATGTTGACAACTGTCTTTCAATACAATTGATTTCATTTGTATTTTATTTATTTTTATTTACATCTACGTATTTTATTTATGCATTTAAAAATTATTCTGAGAAGAGTGCATAAGCATAAAAAAGAGGTCCATAAAACAAAAAAAGATTAAGAACCCCTGCCTCAAACACTTTGCCGAAGGTGACAAGAGTTAACATCACTGGGGCTAGAATCCAGCTCCTTCAACTTCCCACCGCACTATTTTCCACTAAGGGCAACTCAGTTGTTGCCTTCCCTAAGAGATTCTCCCCATTTGCTAGTGGGTTTTTTTTTTCTTCTCCCTCCTCAGGTGTTTTGTGTTATGTTAGCCCTAGATAGCTCGGTAGCTAATTACCCTAGATATCACAAAACTTTAAAGCTGGAAAGGACTTCTGACATCATCTGGTCCAATCCTCTTTTTATCGATGAGGAAGTTACTTGAATCCACCTGGGATACCCCAGAGATACCCCATCTCTCTGACTAAAGGATGGAGCTGAGAGAATCGCTCCTTCCCAAGCGTCTACTGCCTCCCCATCCCTCACCGCCAGATTGTTTTAGGGAGTGTCCTGCAAATACTGGTTGATCCCGGGTTCCCTAAGCAAAGATAAGACACGTCTTCCCCACCTGCTCCAGAACCGTCTAGTCCAAGCTCCTCCCCAGTACCTACCTTCTGCAGAGCCGAGAGGCGGGGGTGGTACAGAGCAGGCTGGACGTCAGCTATCACTCCCCTTGATCAGAACTGATGCCAGAAACCTTTCCTGGAGGCTGTCTGGGATAGTCTGGTTAGCAGGTTCAACTCTATTCTGGGGTCCGTCTGCAGCAGAGCAAAAATAACTGGAGCGAGAAAAAGCAATGCGCGAAGAGCCCGTTCGAGTTTCACTTTCCACTCCCTGACCAATCACGGAGCGAGCTCGTTCTCGTCAGGCCAATCAAAAGAGGCTGTTCCCTCCTTGGCCCCAACTCCCCTCCGTAATTTAGCTCTCTGAATTAATTCCTGTTCCCGTTAAGTCCCTCACTCTGATGTGGGCATTGTCTTCAAAGTGCAATCTGTCTTCCGGGTCTCCTTTTGCTAATGTTAAAGGAAACCTGCGGTGTAATCTGGGGCATATCTTGCAAATTTCATTTGCAGTTGAAAACGAAACTGCAAAAGTTATGTTTCAGTGGCGGGCAGCAAAAAGACGTGCCAAATTGTCTGTGTTAGTAAGTAAGTTAAGCCATGCCAGCAGGATCTGTATATATAAGATAATATATCCCCAGGACATAGCGTGACACCTTTTACACAGTATTAGGGTGCTTGACAGATATTTGTTGAATTCTCAGCTGTCTCTAGTGACAGCCTCCAAAGTGCAGCATCCTTCACAACTATCATGCCAGAAGAAACACCACCCACCTTTCCTTTCCAATGGGTTGTATGGAAGGTAGGGGAGCAAGGACCGTAATCCTCAGTAATAATAATAGCTCACATTATAAAGCACTGTTTCCTATGAAGTCCCATGCAATGCTTAGCTTCTGTAGTTTACAAAATCTCTGCCTCACAACCAATTCCTGTGTGCATTATCCCCATTTTTCAAATGGGAAAATCGATTCTCAGTGAGTGAAGTGAATTGCCTTACAGCGACTGTCACAGCGGTGAGATTCTAATTCATATATCCTGACTGCAAATTCATCCCTTTTATCTTATCAGATTTTGATTCCTGTATGATTCTTAGGTTAGAGCTGGAATAAATGATAGTTAACGTTTGTATGGTACTTTCAAAGTGCCATGCACTGTGCTTAAGCGATTTACAATTCGATCCTCACAATAACCCTGGGAGGTAGGTTATCCCCATTTTACAGTTGAGGAAAGTGAGGCAAACAGATGTTAAATAACTTGCCCAGGGTACAGCTTAAGGGTGTTTGATGCGGCAGGATTTGAACTGAGGGATTTACTGGCTCAGAATCCAATTCCTTTAGGCAAAAATGCCCTGTTTGGCTCACATCCTTAGCAGATCAGATGGGCCTATTGATACAAATGTTGAGGATATATGCGATACATTTCCTCTTCCTCCTGCTGTGTTTCACTTTAAAAGATCAGCTACATTGTGTGGAAGAAAACAAATTCTACTCCAACAATCATATGCAGAATTGGCGTAAAGGTTAGATAGTAAAGACGCTGCGGTTTCCTGGCTCGCCTTGGTGCAGCTGGGACCCTGACCTTGGCAGGAGGGTGCGCGGTGTTCGGAACAGCCACAACCACGTGGTTTCGGAGAAAAGCCCAGAGGACAAGAAGACGGTGGATTGAGAGGAAAGCGAAAGTTATAGTCTAGGTTGGGATCAGTGCGCATGAGCAGCTCGAGGCGGGGGTTTTCCATGCCGAAGGCTCAGTCACTTCCAGTCTGCGCCCCAGCCAGACACAGTAACCTGGGGTCGTCCGTCGCGCGTACCGCGTGTCACTGCATGTGGGCTGACAGCCTGACCGCTGCAGAGAGCAGCGGCTGCTAGATTGCAGGAGTTGGGATGGAGAAGGGCCGGGGGCAGGACGGGGGGGGGGGGGCTGGGGCGGGGAGGAAAGCAGAAGCCAGGTCGGGGATGGTGAGTGAGGACCTAATAGAGAAAGGAACAGGAACGTTCAGGAACGTTTTCTCTGGGATCCTTGCGCTTGGGCATTTTATATTTATTTAGTAATAGCCATAGTTAGCATTTGTATCATGCTTTAATGTGTGCAAGGCATTTTATATACGCTATCTCCTTTGTTCCCCACAATTCTCAGCACTTTGAAGTAGCTTAGCATTATCCCCATTTTACAACTGGGGAAACGGAGGGTGCCCAGAGACACACGGTACTAAGTAACTAAGTCTTGGTTTGAACTCCCTCAGACAACAGATTTAACAGTCTGCTCATTGAGTGCCTTAGGCGGCTAGGTGGCCCAGTGGACAGAGCCTGGTTTCTGGAGTCTGTTAGACCTGAGTTCAAATCTTGCCGTAGATACTTCCTAGTTGTGTGACCCTGGGCAAGTCACTTGACTTCTGCTTCAATTTTGCCTTCTATATAATAATAGCACCTACCTCCCAGGGTTGTTGTGAGGAGCAAATGAGATAATTGTAAAAGCATTTAGCACAGTTCCTGGCACGTGTTTTTTGTTGTTGTTCTTGTTCGGTCCTGTCCAACTCTTCCTGATTCCATTTGGGGTTTTCTTGGCAAAGGAAAAGGAGTGGTTTGCCATTTCCTTCTGCAATTCATTTTACGGAGGAGAAAACTGAAGCAAACAGGGTTAGGTGACATGCCCAGGGTCATCAGCTAGTCTAGTCTGAGACTGGATTTAAACTCGTCTTCCTGACTCCAGGCTCCACACTCTATCCACTGCTCCACTTAGCTGCCCACCTGGCATATACTAAGTGCTATATAAATGTTAGTTCTTATTACTATTATTATTCACTACACCACCTACCATCTAGGCTAACTCTATGTTAGCCTTCTTATGGTTAACATATAGTGCTTTAAGATTTGCAAAGCACTTGACTTGTATTCTCTTAGTAGCTGATCCTCATAAACAACTTTGTGGAGAGAGGCGCTATTATAACCTCCATTTTATAGAAGAAGAACTTATTTTTCTTCCATGCTTCCTCTCTTTCCTCCCTCCTGCATGCAATTTTCATTCCGATGGTTTTCCCCAAAACTTTGGTCATAGGTGTTGGCCTTACCATTGTATCTGAAACTTTTATTAGAATTGAGCTCTTAAATTTAGCTACCCTGAGTTTACTACCATCTTACAACAATTCCATGATCATTTGTTTAGGGACACAGAGTAGATGTTTACTGGTGACTGGGAAGGTCCCTGGAACCACAGAAATAGTTCCTGGAGAAATTTGGATCATTCACACACCCTTACATGGAAATGTGGCTCAGAATTTCTTCAGTTTTTGTTAGACATTTGTAAAGTGCTACTCATTTCTGACCATTCCTTCATAAACAGACTGATGTGGACCATTTGTATAACAAGTTTTAGGTTGTCTTTTTAATGTAGTCAAACTCATGGATGTCCAAAAGGACCGGAAACTTCCAGAAGAATAGCCAATTCCTGTGATATGTGTCAGAATGCTATCACAATCAGATCAATTTCATGGAACTGTTTGGCTTAAGAATTATAATGTAAGAGAATAGAAAATATGATTCAATTTACATAAATTTGGTTTAAATAAGATTTTTCTGAGGCCCTTCTCTACTTCAGAACAAGGATCCTTTGATCGTTTCTTGTTGGCATGCTGGGTGATGATGAATATCTGGTATTTACATAGCAATTTAAAGTTGGTAAAGCACTTTACACATGTTAACTCATTTGATCCTCACAAACAACCTTAAGAGCGCTAATATTATTCCCTTTTTATAGATGAGGAAACTGAGGCACAGAAAGGTTAAGTGATTTGCCCAGGGTCCCACAGCAAGTTATCTAAGGCAGCATTTGAGCTCAGGTCTTCCTGACTCCAAGTTCTATATTCTTTCTAGCATGCCACCAACCTTTTAACTGGTTACTGAGGCAGAACTGAGTGTGTGTATACAAAAGGTCCAAGCACATGATATTTTATTTTCTTTCCTGGCATTAAGTGAGGCAATAATTCCTGTGAGCTGCTGGGAGTGGGAACTTCTTCCTTACTTGGCCTACATGTGTCTGTGAATGCATGACGCCTCTGCTTCTTTAGTCTCTTGTGTCTATTCTTCTTCATCTTAAGTGAACATTTATCCTGATCTTTGTAAGATCGAAAGAGTGGTCAGAGGTCCAGCAACTGGAGTCCATAGCAGAAGATGCAGCAGCCAAGCCTGGTGAGGAGCCCAACATGAGGGTCAATTTGCTTGAGTCAGCCGTGTTGAGCGAGGGAGTTCCTCTTCTCCTGGATCTGTTACACCCAGCGGTGAACTTGGTGAGGACTCCACAAAGGGAGACAGGGACTTCCTGGAAGGCCAGCAGAGATGAGGAGGAGAATGTTTTGTGACAATCACTTTGAGTTTGAGTCGGCTCTCTCTAGGGACAGAGGGGACATAATGAGGAGGAGAATAGGCCTCCAAGTCTGCTGAATTTTAATATTTGGAACAGGTTCTGGGTAAATGTCCCTTTATAAAAGGTAATTGATATTGGATGAAATATTAAATAACATTAATGGTAGTTATAAATGTATAAATATAATAGATTATATTATATGTATGTATAATATAATATATAATAATTTTATTTATAAATGTTAAATAACATTAGGGTTATATATTGCATAAGGGTGATTAATAGTATTAGACACCCTAACCCCTTATAGTTACCTCTAGAACGCTGAATGAAGTAGCAGTCAGCTGCCGCCTGGAAACCCAAACCTTCAATTCAAGCAGGAGTTGGGAAGTAGTCCCAGAGGGTATGCTACATGTGGAAGGTCAGAATTGATTGGGACCAACTTGAACTTATTCAAAGCTCTGATACAGTGTATTACTATCAAGTTGAGGCTGTACCCAGAAATGTGGAGTCACTTTTAAGGTCACACAGTTGGTATGGGACATAACTGAGAGGAATAACATTCATACTCAAGAAAATAAAACACTGAAGTCTGCTTTTATTTCCGTAAAGTTACTGGGCTTTGCTTTAGCCTTTATTCACTCAGAGTTGTGGTAACCAGCTAGAGAGACTAAAATAATCAGTGAATTTTTACCAAGGTTTACTATAAAGAGCCTAATAAGTTTTAAAATGATTTTTTCAAAAGTTTCATAGCACATACATCTCCTTATGTGTCTAGTTTTATGCAACAGGCATGTACTTGAAAAATTATGAAGAAATAAATAGCTTTCTAAATCAAATCACATTTTACCATTAAAATAACATTAACAATTAAGATAGGGTTTAATTTCTGAATGATTTTCATTTGTCCTTTCTCCTAAACTTTTAGA